TATTTTTGAACATCAGTCACATCCAATAAATTTATGCTGAATCAAACCAAAAGAGGTAAACATTGCCAGTTCTGTTTTTATAGTTGAAATATTTGTTCCAAGAATAATGTGGCAAATAGGTGAAGATTCCAGATTATAAAGGATTGGAGGACCTAATCCAGCTCCTTTGTAAAGAAGCAGCAGCATTTCTTTCTTTTGCTGTGAACTTTTATTTTCCCTAACTGGTTTTTTTCTAAGTTGTTTGCCCCCCTCCCTTTGAATGTGGGCTCTATTATTTATTTATACATGCTTTCCCTGGCCACTGCAGTCTTCCAAAGGCAATTTGTAATGCAGTGGTGTATCAGCATTTTGCAATATGAAAAGCTCGTAAGTTATCTTCAAAAAAATACATTTCTATTTTTCTATTCAGAAAGACTTCAACAATAAACAAGTGAAACCGAGTTTATCATATGCTGTATGTTATTGCATAAAATTGAAAAATATTGTATGAGAGAAAATAACATACTTAAGAAAATGCTCAGTTGATGCTTTCCCTATGCAGAAAGTCCTTGGCTGTGTTTTTTGAGAACTGATATAGACACTACTACATTTAGTGTGCAGAATATAATCCTTGAAAGGACTTCTGGCGGCAATTCCTTCCCTCATTGTTCTTCAGGTATATATGAATCAACCATCTCACTTGCTCCCCTGAAAACAATGGTACTACACACAAACTTTCTAAGGGTTGCAGAATTACCAACTGAAATGTAATATCCAAATAAAATTGTAGGCAAAATATATATTTTTATGGATTACTTTTAAAGTTGTCGCTTTGTTTTCTTAAGGTTTTATATTTTGTTTTATATTTTAAATGGTTATCTAGTGATTTTGGGTTATTGGAAAACCCTTGACTTATTGTACCCCAAGGCATTCTATTTTCACTAACTCCTAATCATTGTGTTCCTTTGAACTTTTTTGCACAGTATTTTGAGTCTTCTCAGTGTCAATTTTGGGAAGTCAGGAAGCTTTAGTAAGGATTACTCTTATTTTCATATGGGGAGATGGTATTTTTCACTATTAGATACAATATTTTATTGCTTTGGGAAGAGAGGAGTATATACTGTAAATCATTTTGAACATTAAATTACTAAAAAAATCTAAATTCATAGAAATTTCAGTGACACCATCTATTTAATGTTGTCTTTCTCTTGCAGAGAGATAGGATTTCGGTCATTGTTTATTTTCTCTCCCTCTCCGTCATTCTCTTTTTTTGAACTTCATTCACATGAAATTCTATAACGTATGTTCTGTAAAAACTAGTCATATGTATTGAAAAAACACCCAGAGGGATTGGAATCCCTATAAAAGCATTATGAACATATGGGGAAGGGAGATATCATTTTCTAAGCCGCCTTGGAACTCTTAGCCATTGGTCAATATTTGTCCTGCTTGCATCCAGTTTGCATTTTGTTTCAAAACAGATGCATCTTTAAATTTCAAGTTGGAAAATTACGTGTTATGTCAGATTTTCATTATTTTTTGTAACTACAGTGTAAATCTTTGATCCTTTGTTAGAATCCTTTTGTTAGAAAATATTCAATCATTTGTGGTACTAATTCTGCAAAGTTGCTATTTGACCAGCATAGGGGACTGAAACAGATCTGGGGAAAGGATTTTGTAAATGAAAATTAATGAACCAAACTTTTTGCTTATTGATATTTCCCTTCATAATCCTTGCAAAAGTGCTGAATACCTTTTAATAGGGAGACTAATTATTCTGAAAAAATTGAGACTTCCTCCACATATCTCAAGGGATATCCTCGTTTCCCTACCCAGTTAATCAAGGATGATGTAACTGAGTCCTGGGTGAAAAGAAACAACAGAAGGTCTAGCTAAGTTATGGAATATAACAAAGTTATCGGCTAGAAAAATAAATCTTGGAGAGTGTGGAGCTGCAGATCAACAGACGTGTGATGCTAGGTTTATGTTTATTATTTATGTTTGTAAATAAGCTCAAACGTTACAAACTTCCAATGACCATGTGTTATCTTCAAGATTTTTCACCTTTAAAGAAAGTAATGTAATATGTTTCTCTGTGGCTAATGGATATATTGATTTCATGAAATTGTGAATTTGGGATCACAAAATGGATGCATTAAAACAAGATCATGGCAGGTATCGCTGAATTACAATTGCCAGTATTCCTCACCATTGCCTAGGAGTTGTAATTTAAGCAATTTATAGAGTTACAGTTTCCCAAGTCCCTTAGAGAGATACAGATGTATAATCTGTTACAAATGGAAATGAAGTCAGAGTTATGGATTTTTTTCTCTACATCTGCACAGGGTCCCTTATATGCTGAATAACCAATTTGTAAAAAGAAAAAATACAACATATTGATCAAATACTGCATATTGACAACAACAACAACAAAAAATCCCACAAGCAACTTCCCATCATTGCAGATATTTGCATTAGAGAAAAAATAAATTATGTTTTTTATTCTTAAATAGATATTTGATAATATGGCATGGTTCTGCGTTAATTTATCAGATCTGCAATTGTATGAAAAAGTATTCTTCCTTCTTTTGGAATTGTTAAGTTTTTATATATTTTGATACTTATTTATTAAAGCATTGTTGGGTCCTAATGATATAAAATTTGAGTCTGAATGAACAAGTAACATCAAATGTTGGTGATTGTTTTATTTATTTCATAACAAAATAATCTAGCTCACTGTAGACCAATGTGAAAAACAATTGCCCCTTAGTTTCAGTGATTGCGTCATGTTTAGCTGCAAGAATTGCATGCACGCACTTCCTGGAATTGGTGATCATATATCATCTATGGGGATTTAATCCCATTTCTCTAACAATCAAGTAATATTTGAGGTTTTCTTAGCATAAACTGCTCATTTTGAGTCCTGCCAAAGTGTTAATGGACATTCTAAAACATTGACTTTGTTCTTCATTATTTACTCTGTTGTAAACTTGCTTTTATGTCTGGGGTCACTGTCTTGAATCTACTTGCACTTCATATGATAGAAGACAAGTATTCTCCTGTAAAATTCTCTGATACAAACAGTGTTCATGTTCCATACTTTTCTCATCTGTTTAACATTCCTCCTCCTGACAGTCTTTGGCAACTTTCAAATGCTTTCTGACAAACTTGAGACAAGTGTCAGTGTTTTTCTTAGTGATTTCCATTTTGTTCTTCTTTGAACCCCATTTTTCATCAACTACTTTTCTGAAGAAAAGGTCATGAGGTTTTAGCCAAGGTGTGAGAGGCTTGCAGAATTTTGGATTAGGGTTCTCTATAACTTCTTGGAATGTTATACTTTGCATTTATTTATTTATTTATTTTCGCCACCCATCTCAGTCTGCAAAGCAACCCTGGCCAGTTTACAATTAAAATCATAAATATAAAAATATCAAAAAATATTAAGTACAAAAATAAGAGTAAAGTCAGAATTGGTATGGTGATGGCATCTTCCTTGTTAGTCCACCAGCAACCTCCAACAAAGTGGTCTTATAACAATTTTGAAAAGAAAATGGCATATGTTCATTGGGAATATTAAAATAAATATAACTTTGCCAGTTTTTAACCCTTCATTGTCACAGATTTCAGAATACAAACATTAGATTATTTGTGTATGTAAAAATTAGAGATGAAGAATCTATTATCATGCAGAAACCTGAATTTTCATTAACTCTTACTAGTTTGTCCAATGCATGCCTTATAGAAATCATGGTCCAAAACACTTGGAGTGACTCAAACCAGAACAAAGTATACAAAACTTGTGCCTTAAAGATTGCAAGCAGTCCATCACTTTTTTCTGATCCCCAAATGAGATGAGTCAAAATTTGAGGCATGTTTGGGGAAACCTTGGAGGATTTAAAGAATAATGTCAGTGCATTAACATTTGCAGATGCTTGCAACACTCATTTTACCCTTTAAAACTTTTGAAAATTCTTGCCCTCCAACTTTTGTAATGTGGTTCACTAAATACCACACAAACAATGAGGCAGTCCTGAGTCAGCCAGCAGTTATTCATCCCTAATTCTTGCTTAAGGCACATTCATCCTATAAGTGGCAGACGTTCAAACATGTTAAGTTAAACAATTTAAAATTCATATTTTGATTTCTTGTTTATATGGATTGTTATGATAACCAGTCAAGAGAAGATATTGTTACATAGAAAACACAATGCCATCCTCAAAGGTAAGATGTAGTTGAGAATAATACACCATCCTAAGCATGCACCACAGAGAACCATGCTTCTTTAAAAAATGGATGGCATGTCCAGTTGTTTCCAAAACAGCACTGAGCAGATGGAATCACTGGATACACCCAAAAGAGGCAAGCAGATAGTATTCCTGTAACTAAATGAATCAGAACTAAATATGTTTTTCCTTATATCATTTCTAAAATAGGTCAGCCCATTTCAGTGCATTTTTCCTACAGTTCATAAAAATCTTGATTAATAGCCTCATTGATAAGCTTTTTTAAAAAATGACCTAAAACTTAAATTTAAGCAAGCCTACTAGAAATAGAAAAACCAGCCATGTTATGTCAAGCTGTATATTAATTTTCTGCAATGGTTGCAAGTGTTAAAAATGATCATACATCACTTTTTTAAGTGCTGTTATAACTTTGAACGGTCACTAAACAAACTGTTGTAAGTCAAAGACTATCTGTATAAGGTTTATTCCCTGTTCGTCCTCTCCTGTTGTCTTAGGAAAGAGCTCCACTGTTCAAAAAAGGCAGGATCATCCCCTATAACAGGCGATCAAACCGGTCAGTCCTAGAAGAGATCAACCCTGACTGCTCTTTAGAAGGCCAGATCCTGAAGTTGAAACTCAAGTACTTTGGCCACCTAATGAGGAAGGAAGGATTCACTGGAGAAGAGCCTAATGTTGGGAAAGATTGAGGGCAATAGAAGAAGGGGACGACAGAGAATGAGATGGCTGGATGGAGTCACTGAAGCAGTAGGTGTGAATTTAAATGGACTCCAGAAGATGGTAGAGGACAGGAAGACCTGGAGGAACATTGTCCATGGGGTCGCAACGGGTCGGACACGACTTCGCAATTAACAACAACAATACAGTATGCCCTGCCTATCTATGCCTCATCCTGGCTTTCAGACTGGAGCCTTTATCAGCCCTTTTACTCAGTCACAGTCCTTTACCAATAATGAGTATTCACAGGTTAAAATCATAATGTGGTCAGATTTTGACATGGCATAATCCATGAACCCGACCAACTGATTTATTAAAGAAACCATAGTTAAACAAACCACCACTTAGTTTGAAATGTGAACTATTCCTTTTGCAGAGGGGATAGTGCCAACCTGAAATAGTAAAGTCGCCACCCAACCAACCCGTCAACAATGCTAACGCCTAAAACATGCGCTTTACTCAATTTGTACAAAGGTCGGTGGTTTCTTCTTCATTCTTGCAAGCTCCATGGGCAAGCGACTGCGATGCTGCACGTTTAACGTTTGAGCCGTTTTAAGATAAGATAATCTTTATTGTCACTTTTTTTTTCTGCGAACACACCGGCGCACATTAAACATGATTTTTAAATATATATATATATATATATATATCTATATCTTGAGCCCTTGTACCGTCTGAACCCTTTTCTCAGAAGACAACGCCGCCGTGCTCCACGGAGCTTCCTCCCAGCCTATTGGTATTTAGAATAGCAGACAGACGATTTCCAACAGCTGAGCTGCTCCTGTCACATCTCTGCAAGCGCGACCAAACTCAGCCACCGGAGCATTCAACTTGCGCTGCTGCTGCCGCTGCCAAGGACAATACAGTAGGAATAACCCGAAGCCGCTAACAACTTCCAGCCCGCTCCTCCCTCTGGTTCAATAAGAGCCAGCAAGGTCCTCCCCTCTATGGGCGGAAAAAGAGCCCGACGCGCTGGTCGCCGGGGCTTTACGCAATCGATTCGAAATAGCTCAAGAGTGGCGGCCGCCGGCTTCTCCCCTTTGGAGAGGGGAAGTAGGTGAGTACCGTAAGAGGGAGCGACGCACCGGCCTTAGAAAAGCAGCCACGGTCTTCCGCAGCTTGGGGCGGAATTCGCGGGACTAGAGCCGTTATGGCAAGAAAGCCCAGGAGCGCGAAAGTTAGTACCAGTAGCAGAAGGAGGGGCAGCTCTCTCGATACCTGGACCGGCCGCGGGAGTTCACGGGTTTGATCAAGTTGCGTGAAAGTGGGAAGAGCTTTCTTTTCCACCTTGGGAAGGCCGGGAGTGGGTGCTTTCGCGGGTGCAGGATAAGCAGCGGTTTATTTCGGAGATGGGTGGGGAAGGGAAGTCGGGCGTTTGGGCGCCCAGCTGGTGGTAACTTAAGCGGTTTCTACGAGAAGAAGGCGCCCGAGTGGTGCTGACGTTTTTACTAGCGCCTCCCCAAAACGCTGTAATTTTTTTGTGGTCGACCCAAGTTCTTTAAAAGGGTGCTGATTCTGCAAAAATGTAGCTTGGCTCCAGATCGTGCTAAACCACAATGTTGTACCGGCCAAAGCCACACAATGTTGTTTGTGTGGCTTTGGCCGCTATCCAACTGTGGTTTATTGGATGACATACGCGTAAATGAAAGGTAGTGCAGCGCAGTATAAGAACAACCTCCTCGCCCCGTTTCTTTGACATGTATTGATTCACTTTATCATCCATTCAGAAGCATCACTTAGAAGCAACCTCTGGAGAGTTCGTAACTGTATAGGTGTTTTTAGAACAAGCGCCAAGTTCTTTCTGATTTCCGTTCTTCAGAAACAAAGCCAAAGTAGCCTTCCTGAGAAAAAAGAAAATCCATATTGAGAAATATCTTTAGTATGCAGATTACAAAATTATTGTAGACTTTTGATGTGAATTCTGTATCATACTACAGGAAAATGATGGCCAGGATAATTTATGATTGGGTGGGTCTGCAAACCCAAGAAGCTGGATTTCTTCAGTAAACCATGGTTGAGTTAATTGTGTGTTGTTGGCAATGAAAGATTAGGAAACTAAGATGGTAACATTTGGGAAAGAATAATAGTGTGACACAGGGGTAAGGAAGATCCTTGACAAATGCTTAATTGTTTTAGGTATGCCTGGAATTAAAGCATTAAGATTCAGATAAGATTAAAAAACAATAGCTTACATTACAGGCACTGGTCCCTTCATTTTTGTTTTATCAAATGTTACACTCAGTATATTTGGATTGTTAAGGTATAGAAGGACTGCTTATTTTGTTTGTGCTGTGTTATAAATAGATTAATACCATCAGTGTCCTGCTCTTTATCTCCCTCTACAGTTTTATACTATGTGAACCTTAGCTGGTTTTGTACCAAAAACATTGTACATTTGTTCCTTGTTAATTGGGTGCAGTTCATCCTTTTTCTTTTGTGCAGTAGTGTCTTCTCTCTTTCTTGATAATCAGAAAAATGCATTACTGTTATTAGAAAAACAGGGCTTTGGACCATTTCTTTGATTGTCATGATGTCCTGTACTGGAAAACTGTATGAGGATCTGGTCAAACTCCTGGACTTCTCAGCAGCTTCTGATTCTAACCAGATTAGAAGGGCAGAGTATAAATCAGTATCTTAAAAGTAGTTCCATGCACTGCATAGAATTAAGCTAATGTATGTGATTAGTTTTGGCTAATTTATAACATATCTAGACGGTTTAGCTTACCATGTTTATTGATTAAACAAATCATGACTTAGTATGACCTAAGCCACATCACTGAGTTGCACAGGAGTCCTTAGCTATGATTTAACAATGATTTATTGAATACATATAATTGGATGGGTTCATAAAGTATGTTCAGTTATAACCATTATTTACAAAATAGATGGTTTAATTTACATATTTGGTGCCAGTTTAATTTGTTTCTATGTAATGTGCAATTATTCTCACTTCTGCCTATATGGTTGGCAATGCACATGTAAATATAGGAAAGTCCCATTGAAAGCTTTAGGAAAAAGGTAGGATAAAGATGTTATAATATGTTAGAATTACTGAAACTTCACTACTGCTATATTGCATTGGATTATTAAACTTTTTTTTGTCCCCAACTGTTAAAAAAGCATTTTCTTCACTTTTATCTATCTGCTTATACAGTCGCATAATATAATTATATGAAGAAATATTTGCTCCTTTCAGATTTTTGTCTGTTCTGCCAAAATTACTCAGAGACCATCATGCTAGTTTAAACCTTCCCTTTAATATATTTTTATGAACTGGAATTTTAGCTGCATTGAAGGTACACTTTGGAGTGCCAGTAGCTTCTCAATGCTGTTGGGGCAATTTGACTTTTATTGACAATTTAAACTAGGGAAGGGAAATCTGGTCCTTTGTATAGTTAGCAACTACCAGAGGCCTAATTGTCTGCCATTTTACTCCAGAACAAATACAGGTAGTCCTCGATTTACAACCACAATTGAGAACAAAATTTCTGTTGCTAAGTGAAACATTTGAGAAATTAAGTGAATTTTGCCCCAGTTTTTTGCCACAATTAAGTGAATCACTGCAATTGTTAAGTTAGTGACACAGTTAAGTCAGTCTGGCTTCCCCATTGACTTTGCTTGTAGGAATGTCGCAAAAGATTATCACATGACCCCGGGACATTGCATAAATATGAGTCAGTTGCCAAGTATCTGATCACGTATCCATGGGGGTGCTACAACGGTTGTGTGAAAAATGGTCATAACTCAGTGCTGTTTTTTCCAGTGCTGTTGTAACTTCAAATGGTCACTAAACAAACATTGTAGGTTGAGGACTTCTGTACATTGTGAATTGGGAAGAAACTGGCTCACTTCCTGTCTTGGATTACTTAGGCATGTAAATAATTAATTGGTTTAAATTTGGGAATTAGAAAACCTGTTCTCTTTCATGATGGTAATATTTTGTTTTAACATTAGGTGGAAGAAAATGCAAGAACTTGACAAGATTGAAACCTTGAATCCAGAATGGTAGGTAGATTTTACTAGTTTGATTCTTGCTTATTAATAAACCTAATAAAATCTCAGGCATATGTTTTAGCTAGTTTTCTGTGTAAAGTATGTGGCTAGTATTAGTATTACCCTGTTGTTTAGAATGGACTTAAAGTTTGAAGTAGATGCTTCAGTCTTCTGAAGCTTTGCTACTAAGTCAGTTGTTTTGGAGAGCCCACCAGTGTTAACTGTTATCAGTTTTGGAGAAGATGCTTTTAGGGAAGGATTACTCTTTAGCCTAATAAGGAAGTGAAGATATCCAAAATCAATAGCAATGCTCATTGGAAGAAGATACTTGTCATCCCACACATCCAAAATTGTAATATAACATACCACATGGTGGGATGACTATTATGAATAAATACAGAAGAAGAATTAACTCCACAGAAGTCAAAAGGAGTTGCCCAGATAAATTCTTGTAAACATGTGAGGATAATACAGACCGAAATCCCTCTTTTATTGGGCAGTCCAAATCAAATAGTTACACTCCAAAGGATTTGTGATAGAGGTGTGAAAAGCCTTTGATTTCAAAACAGCTGTTTCACTTTCAAATAGTATTCTTCCAGCCTTGGTGACAGTCTTCCAGAATTACTCCAGAAGTATTCTGGGCTTGAAAAGATCCTGTTTTGCCATATCAGTTCTAAATGGAGCCATTTCCAGCTTGGAACACTTCTGCAGAGTTGAAACGATTCATTTAAAACTTAAGACATTTCAAATTCAAAACACTTTAGTCTGTGAACTTGATGCCATGCTAATGCCTGCATTCAGCCCACATCTTACCTTTTTCCACCTAGCACATAGTGTTAGCTTATCATGAGTACTCCCAAGCAGCAGAGTTCTGTGCTGTGTCAATACCTGAAAAAAATATCTGAAGTGTCCATGCATGTTTAAAATACAGATGGAAAGGAGTGGAGGGTAGAACTCTCTGTATTTGTTTTATGTGCACAGAAGAGATAAAGTGTATAGAGGTATTGGTGTCTCACTGTGTCAGAAGCAATCAAGTTTTCTGTAGATACAATTAATATCTGCTTAACAACCACATTTGGGATCAGTAAGTCTTGTCACTGAGACATCATGTGATCGCAATGGACTTAAACCATCACTTTCCATTTAGTCATTAAATGAGTCACAAGTGAGTCATCATTTGACCACAACTCATGATTTTATTGCCAGCTTTATTGGCTATACCTGTCAGAAGCCGTCTGTGAAGCTTGCAAATGGCAATCACATGACATACAGTAGTCATAAGTGGAAGACCAGTTGTGCAATTACTTTTACATTAAGCAAGGATTAACTGCCTAAATCTAGAAAGAGATAAGATTTTGAAATAGGTAAGAATTGAAATATTTGAGGATTAGTAAACAGTGATTGTATTGATGGCATAAGAATTCCAACCAAAAGTATAATTTCTTATTATGCTCTAACACTGCTTTTAAAATTTAGATTAAGAAGATAATATTCTTATTATTCTTTGTTAGGCTTTTGTGTGTTAAAAAAGACTTGCATAGCGTTCTCCAATTTAGTGTCCTGTAAATTTCTGGGGCTTCAACGCTCACAATCTCATAATGGCTGACTGTGTAAGTTGACCTCTGGTAGACTATTTGATCTGAATGGGAATGTAATCAGAATGAGAAAGCTTTCCTCAGTTATTACTTATTAGTTAAGGTTTCTGTTTCTTTTATTTATTGTTCAGCTGACTTTTAAATGTTTTTTCAGAGCAGTAGATTTCCTTTTCAATGCCTTCTACAGTCCTCAATGAATTGGTTGCTGCAGCTGCAACTTAGGCAAGTGATATAATTTGCATTGGAGTAATTATTAATTCTTCTCCTTCATAATAAATTATTGAGTTATACTTGCCATTAAAGAATGGAGCTGCTCTTGGCTGCAGATTTGGGTGGAGAAGGTTTCATTTTTTAAAAACAACTCTGCATTTAAGAAAAGACAGATTGTGTTTCCATCCTCTTGATAACTGTAACTATATTTTCTAGGAGAAGGAAATATTTTCTTAGTATTTAGCATGATTACACATATGCTAGCAAGCAAACTTAAAAAGATTATTTGCTTTTTCTTTTGCTTCATTCTGTCACACTGCTTTAATAAATTAAAGGATTTTTTTATATATGGCATGAGTACAACTTCAATCTTTTTTCAGTCAAGATAATTGCTTCATTATATGGTGCTGTAGTGAGATAATGAAAACTGTGGTAGCTAGGCTGACAGCTTGAATGATTATGAGACAACCCTACATCATATAGCAGGGAGACCAAAGTCTGCCATATGCAGTGTCTTGGAGAAAAATTAAAAATTAACTGAAATGACAGATCTTCTCAACATCCTTAGAAACATCACTATGGTAAATAAGGAGTTCCAGCAATTATACTATTATGTCCTATTATGTAACACGGAGACAGAGATCTTATGTTAACTGAGCAAGGCTTCCAGAAGCCACAGTCTATAAGCCCCAAATAAGCATGCAGGAAACTTTCAGTAGAAATGTCCAACTGATACAGCCAGCATCCACTGCAGTTATTAGAGTAGAAAACACAAAGCATTCACTATATTAACTGGCAACAGCAGCCAGAGCTGTGGTTCAAGTATCAGAGAAGAAGGAGTGGGGTTGCTCAACAGATGGCACTAAACATAGCATGGGCCACAAAGCACTTTACTGGAGCTGAGGGACTTTGGGGGTTCCATGCTGCCCAGCCTTTGTCATTCCTTTCTTGGGAAAGGGCTGAGTGACTGGTGGTGGCTGACTCCAGTACTGTGAATCCACAGACATCTTTTAGATAAATGTTTGAATTCTCTTAACAGCTTTGTTTTAGAGGCACCACACACAACATGGAGCATGGTGAAGGTATTTCATTCCAGATGTATCTACAGTGGCAAAGAACATTTTTTAACCCAATAGAAATATTTGTAGTCCTGCAGTACTATAATCCACATGCTTTCTGAGCTTAATTTAAGTTCTATTAATATATAAAGAGATTCTGGTCTAACAAATGACACACTAAACTAGACGAGGGGGAACAGTTGTTGTGTGTCAGGTAAAAGATTCTGTTTGTCTTAGAGAAGGAGATTTTTATCTTCTCCTTTTTGTATATAAATTAAAGAAGTGAGCATATCTATTATTCCTGCCTCCTATTTTCCTCACAACAACCGGGTGGGGTGGGGTGGGGTGGGGTGGGGTGGGCAGAGAGAAAGTGACTAGCTTTTATGATTTAGATTAGCCTTTTCCAACACAATGCCCTCATGATTACTAGAACTGAATTTGAAATTGAGAAATTACTCCTTGGATTGATCTGGAATGTCTTATTTAACTAAGTTCTGTTAAAGATATAGTGCACATAGATATATTCTTGAAATGTTTTAACAGTTCTGTAAAAAGCAAATTTACCAAAACCTATAGGCCATGTTTAATTCAAACAAAATTGTTTTAGGTGAGTTTTCCATCTTACTTTGCAGGATTTGCCAACCCAAAACTGAGGGCCAAATTCAGAATGGTACAGAGCAGAATAATTGTGATGATTGTGTTGATAACCTTTTTAAAAAAGCTCAGAAAGTTGGGGCTGTATGCTCAGAGCATGCCAAGGTAAGTCTAAAGTAAATAGATGTGGGGTTGCAAGACATGGTAGTTATTTAAAAATTGTAACAGTTTTTATTTAGGCAGCATTTTCTCCTGAAATCTACTAACAAAGTCAGCTCCCCCCAAAAAAGAAAGCAAAATGAAGTAGGAAAAAGAAGATAAGTGGGGGGGGGATAGTTAAGCAGAGATATGCACAACAGAGTTTATGCCAGGTAACAGGCTAAAACATACCACAATTTGGATTTATGTGCTATTTGGATTCTGACTTGGGTCAGATTAGGATTAAATAGCTGGTGTTCAATATATTTGTGAAGAAGTGCATCTACGGATGACAATTGGAGGAATTCTCTTACTATTTTCCTACCAAAGAGGAAAGTAGCAAGAATTAATGCAAAAACTACAAGGGAATTCATTTGATAAACGTCCCCGGAAAAGGTATTTGGTAGAATTCTGGTTGTTACTTTGTGTTTTTATTTATTTATTTATTTATTTATGAGACTTATATACCGCTTTAAGTGTAAGCACTCTCTAAGCGGTGTACACCAGTAAGCAATGTATATATATTTTACATTGCCCCCAACAATCTGGGTCCTCATTTTACCTACCTCGGAAGGATGGAAGGCTGAGTCAACCTTGAGCCGGTGAGATTTGAACCGCTGACCTGCTGAACACAGTCAGCTAAAGTGGCCTGCAGTACTGCACTCTAACTGCTGCACCACCTCGGCTCTTATGTTGCTCAGTGAGCAACATTTGGGAAGCACAGTGAAGCCAGAGAGTGTGCAGACTAGATTAATGTTCTTGATGTCATTAAGCTTCATTGAGCATGAATGTGAAACTGAAAGTTACTGTTTGTGTGTGTTGAGTTAGGAAAGTGTGTGATGAAATGAATACTATAGGCTTGAATTAGGACAGGGGTAGGCAACTTTGGCTCTTTTATGACTAGTGGACTTCATCTCCCAGAATTCATACAAGAGTCATAAAAGAGCCAAGGTTGCCTACCCCTGCTCTAGGATTTCAGCAGGGAGGTTTTTCAGACCCTGAGCAGAGAGATATTGGTATGTGGCTTGTGCTAAGTCTCCCCCCCCCTCCCCAGGCACCTTGCATTCCTTACTTGGGATTCTGTTTGCTTAACAGTCTGCAAGTTCACTTAGCAACTGCATCCATTAGTGCTGAGACTTTAGTTGTTGAGCAAAGCAGTCATGTGACATCTGACTTAATCAGCACTTTGCTCAATGACTGAGATTCTGATCCCTATTGTCATTAAGGGACAACTACATGTAAACAAATGCTGGTAGAAAAATAGTGGGTAGTGTATCATTTGTTGCAAGGAATTCATGCTTGTTTGAAGAAGAGAAAATGTATAAAAGATTACAGGTAGTCCTCAACTTACAACCATTTATTTAGTGACCATTCAAAGTTACAATGGAACTGAGAAAAAGTAACTTACATTTCTCACACTTACGACCATTGTGGCATCCCCATGGTCTCATGATCAAGATTCAGATGCTTGGCAACTGACTCATATTTATGATGGCCCCAGCATCATGTGATGACCTTTTGCGACAAGCAAAGTCAGTGGGTAAGCCAGATTCAGTTAACAACCATATTACTAACCCAACTGCAGTAATTCACTTAACAGCTTTGGCAAGAAAGGTCATAAAATGGGGCAAAACTCACTTAATAACCATCTTGCTTTACAATGGAAATTTTAGGCTCAGTTGTGGTTGTAAGTCGAGGTTTATCTATGCTTCTACCCACTACATTATTTGGCGAGACACTTCGAGACTTGTCAAGAATGAGACATGTCAAGAGGAACTTAAGAGTAAGTTGAATGCAGCAGAGCTAGGTTATTTCCGAAACATCGGTGGTAATACAGGAGAATGACTCAAGAACAAATAAGTGAGGAATGTAGGTACATTAAATACAAAAGTGTTGGTACCTGAAAAAATAAATACACGAAGAAAGAGTGAATGGGTTAAGGAGAAGCAGAGGCCATAAGTCACACTTGGATGAATTTGATAGGCTAGGAGCCCAGACTTGCCTTATTGGTGAGAGGGGCAACATATAAATTTAATAAATAAATAAACAGAAGGCAGTGAGTGAAGTAAAGCGTGTGATAGAAGGAAGGAAAGTTTACAAGCATCAAAAAGCATAGTGGAAAATGTTGATGTATACAGGCTTTTTTTTAATTGAAATTTTTATAAAGTTTTTACAATAAAATCCCTCCCCACCACCCTCCCTGCACCACCACCCCTTAACCCTCCCCCCCCTTCCCAGAGCTATATACAGAGCTAAAAACAGCAGAAGAAAAAACATAAAAATTAAATAAAGATGTATACAGGCTTTTGGACTGTTCTTTGTCTGGATGTATTGCTCGTATGTTTATATTACTATACCTTTATACATTTATTCTTGCATACATGGTGTAGCTCAACTCTTGATATAACTATAATTTGTGTTTTCATTTTATAGGCTGATACAGTTATTACATTATGGAAAAATGGGTTTACAGTAAATGAGGGTGAACTCCGAAGTTACACAGATGTTGCAAACCGGTGCTTCTTGGATTCCATTAAAAAGGGGCAAGTTGGCTTTGTATTAATTGAGTTTGCACATTACACTCTATAGTGACTACCCAGTTTGGGCAACATGGTGGATGCACTGTCTACTCAAAATGTGCATCAATCCAAATTATTTTTTTTAAAGGGTACCCCTTTTTTGAGATATGTGAAAGACAAACTAATACAATGGCATTCTATGTTTATTTGTAATATAGTTGCTGAATAGGTGGGCTGTTTCAATGGCCATAATATGATACGTTGACGTTTAAATTCAAACCTGGTCTTGTGGTATATGGAGATGCTTCATTATTGTACAGTATATGGGAAAAAATGGGGAGAAAAAGCTGAAACCAAAACGTTGGACTGTGACATACAGGTAGTCCTCGACTTATGACCACAATTGAGCCTGAAATTTCCACTGCTAAACAAAATAGTTATTGAGTTTTGCCCCTTTTTACAAACTTTTTTGCTACAGTTATTAAGTGAATCACTGCAGTTGTTAAATTAGTAACCCAGTTGTTAAGTGAATCTGGCTTCCCCATTAACTTTGCTTGTCTAAAGGTCGCAAAAGGTGATCACATGATCCTGGGACGCTGCAACTGTCATAAATATAGGGCCAGTCGCCAAGCATCTAAATTTTGATCACATGACCGCAAGGGTGCTGCAGTGGTTTTTAACTGTGAAAAACAATCATTTTTTTCAGTACCATTGTAACTTCAAACAGCCACTAAACAAATGGTTTAAGTCGCAGACTACCTGTATTGGTTTCAAGTAATCAAAACAATAGTCTCTGTGTTCCAAATACAAAAATAGACATGCTCTGTATTTCTCTTAGGGAGCTGCCTCTTGAGTTACAGAAGATCTGTGACAAAGAAGAGGTGGATGTGAAGATGGATGATAAGAAGGATAAGTTATATACGTCGCCGAAGGCAGTATTTCATCCTTTCTCTGGACCAGGATATCGGTTAGGAAGGTGAGGCAGCTTCATTCTTTTAGTAATTGAAACTGGCTTGTGAAATGAATGAAGGTGATTGTTTTCTTTCATTCTTCCTCTGCTTCAATCCTATGCCTGTTTACTCTTGAGTAAATCCCGTAATGTGAATAAGATGGCGCCTGCATTTCCAGATTTTGAAGAAGACTTCTATAAGTAGTTCTCGTCTTACAACCACAATGGGAACCAGAATTTCTGTTATCAGGCTTGTTGTGTTAACTGTTGCCACAATACCTGATTTCACAACTTTTGCCATGGTTGTTAAGTGAATCACTGCAGTTATTAAGCGAATCACAGGGTCATTAAGCAAATCCAGCTTCTCCCATTGATTTTGCTAGTGGGAAGGTGGCTGAGAGGGTCACAAATGGTGGGTCACTTGACCCTCAGATGCTAAAATTATTGTAAATGTATCCCGGTTGCCAAGATTCTGAATTTTGATCACGTGACCAGGAGGATACTAAGATGGTCATAAGTGCAAGGACCAGTCTTAGGTAACTTTTCAGTGCCATTGGAAGTTTGAACAGTCACTAAACGAATAGTTGTAGTCAAGGACTACCTATAAAGAACATTTGCCTCAAATTTGGAACTGAAAATACTGCTGCCTTTCTACTGAATATCCTATCTTAGTACAAAATAACCAGTTTAATAATATTGACAAATGAAAGAGATGCAGGAATATCAACAAGAATCATAACAATAGTCCACTTATCCCTCTCATTAAGTTACCTCCAGATAAATTCCCTTCAAATTGTACATTATAACTGCTCACATGATATCTTAGCATCCTTCCTTAATATTAATTGTCTTTACCTTATTGATAATCTTATTTACCTTTCCCTAACCCAAGGCTGGCTTCTTAGACATCATGTTGGAGAAAACTGACATAATTTGATGTCCTCACCATTATGTTTCAGGATATATTGAATTTTATTCATATTGAGTCATTGTAGAGATCTCTGCTGGGTTTTTAAAAATTTTGCCATGTATCCCTTTGTAAATATAGCATACTGTTGTAAGAAGGAAAATAATGGGCCTAAACTCTCCATTCATTGAATGTATAAGAAATAAGTTAGAGCCTGCAAGCGTGTTGCTCTTTGAGAGTAAAGTTATAGTTCAGCAGAATGGAAATTACATGTTCAAAAATCTTCAACAGGTGTATCAGACTTATAAGAATCTTACAATTCAATGTAATAAAATAAGGTATGTTGCCATATTACTACTTCCATGCATTTGAATTTCATATTTTATTTTAAAGATACATATCCTACCTTTCAGTTAAAAAAAAAACACAATGAAAAACCAAATCTTAAGATAAGAAGGGGTAAAAATAATGAACAAATACAATTCTAAGAGAGATTATTCCACTTTAAAAAAAAGTAGAAGCGCACAAAGGTTCCACAGGTTGTTCACTGATATGCACATTATACTGAGATTTTAGTTGTCTAAACATGCTTTACTAAATAAAACACAATTGGATGGGTTCACAATAACAGTTAATTCCCAAACCAACCAGATGTTGGCTCAGGCTCAACCTTTCTCAGCCCTCTCTTTTGAGTTTCTTTTTCAGCCTTAAATATACTTTTTTGCTTTCCAGTCAATATGTTGCTGCCTCTCTGATAATGAAGTCTCAGCCCTATTACATTTGCTTAATTTCAAGTATTCTGTAAAGATACCTTTGTTATTCATTTTTATGTGTTGGTAATATTTAACTACGTAGCTCATAGAGGAGAAATTATCTAGAAAGAAGTGGCATTATAATCTCATACGATTAAAACTTTATTTTCCAGTGCTACACCTAGAATAATCTCCAAAGTAAAAAAAAAAGTTGAAGAAACTGAAGAGAGAAAACCAACAGTAGTGCTAATTAATTCAGAACCTATCACTAGAATCCAGATTTGGTTAGCAGATGGAGCAAGGATAGTACAAAACTTCAATATTTCTCATAGGTAAGAATAGATCACATTAACAGAATTCATTTTTTACAATATACTGTGCAGTTTACAGGATATTTGCTTCCTTTCAAGACAAATTACAGCCCACCAAGCTATTCCTAAGAATATTTACTTAGAAATGAAATCCTACTGCAACCATTAGGGCAGACTTCCAAGAAAGTATTAGATTACAGCCAAAGTGCCTTTAAAACATTGATTTGTTTTGAATACTGAGCCATGAAATATGTTAGCTTTTCAACATTAGCCATGGACAAAACCTAGATAAATATTTTAAAGTATATGTGAAAATGATAGTGTAAATTTAAAAAAAAATCCAAAAAAGAAAACACACTGTTAAGCAAAGTGGTACAGCCATTATGACATAAATGAGCTTCAGTGCATGCTGCATTCATTTTCCATTCACTTCACATTGAATCAAAGCATCAAAACTTCGGGGAAATCTTATGTCAGAATAGATTGTCTTGGCAAGATTTTTATGTTAGGTTTAATTTGCTTAGCCCTAATTTGTTGAATAAGCCACAGCTGCAATCCAAATTACTGTAAGGTAAAGCTGTTTTGATTTGTGTCCAGTTAATGAAGTTGTATTTCTGTTTTTTCATGCTTGAGTCAGATTTGATCCAGTGTTGCAAAATATTGTATTTTTAAACTGTGTTTCTCTATGTTACTTCAATGGGAATTATTTCTGAGTAGACATCTATTGGATTTCTCTATCAATTCACTAAATATCGAGACATATAAATGTTATATTTCTCATTTTTCCTTCTCTTTATATCTTACATTATGCAGGAAAGGTGATTTTTAATTAATATGGATTGTGTGACATATAGAAATACATGGCATTAGTGGAGTTGCATTATTCCAGACTGATGATTTTTCTCTAAGATATTAGTGCATTGTTTCCCGATTACAGCAATTTTGACGCATGTTGACTTCAGTTCCTAGAACTGTTATCAATGGATATGCTGGCTGTAGAATTCTGGAAGTAGAAGTCCACATACCTCAAAATTACTATGATTGGGAAACCAGTGAATAAACCGACTCTCTGACTATAAAGAACAATCCACACTTGGTTTTTCCAAACCTGCTGTCCTCCATATACAGGACACTAAAGGTCCTGCATAGAACAATAAACTGATATAGAACAACAGGCTGGGAGAGGCTATCCTCCTCCCTTTAGTATCTACAGAAAAACTGTAGATTTGGGTCAGAGGATTAACAACTTATTTGGATATGCAATGTGATAATGCTTATAACCATTCTGAGATTAGAGCACTTCTTTTCATGATATCACATACAGTCAGGAAAACCTGAACAAATTTATTCTTACATCACTATGATTTTTTTATACTTAATACACCATAAAAGCCATGGTGGCACAGTGCTTAGAATGCGGTATTGCATGCTAACTCTGCCCACAGCCAGGAGTTTGATCCTGACCAGCTCCAGGTTGACTCCACCTTGTGAGGTCGGTAAAATGAGGACCAAGATCAGACATGTCAAACTTACGACGTCACATGACATCGCACGATGTATCAGAGCTTTTTCCCCATTGCCGGCAATGGGGTAGGCAGTTTTGTCGTGACGCGTCAGGCCTGTGGGCTGGCAATTTGACACCCCTGACCCAAATTGTTGGGGGGCAATATGCTGACTCTGTAAACCGCTTAGAGAGTGCTTTAAAGACTATGAAGCGGTATATTAGTCTAAGTCATCGGTTCTCAACCTATGGGTCACGACCCCATTTGGGGTCGATCGACCATTTCACGGGGGTCGCCAAGCAAGGCTGTCCACCATTTTTTTTCCCTTTTCCGGCGGGTGCCTTACCTCCCTTGGTCTGGGCCAGCTGGTGGCCCAGCCGGTGGTCAGCCTGCTCCGTGTCTGCCGCTTGCCAGCTACGCCTCAGCCGGCGCAGGGGGCAGCACCACACATACGCGGCGCTCCCGGGCAGGGAAAGTCCTCGACTTACGACCGGTTGGGTAGTCCTCGACTTACGACCGGTTTAGTCCTCAACATTTGACCGGTTTAGTCCTCGACTTACGACCAGTTGGGGGTCGCAGCATTAAAAAGGTTGAGAACCACTGGTTTAAGTGCTATTGCTGTGAAAGAAGTTAGTTTGGGAAGAACAAGGCTGCACAGCTTAAAATGCGTAATGACAAAAGTAGTTCAAAGTGCTAGTTATAGGAGAACTTAACGTACGCCTATATGGTGTTTGTGAAGGTCCTGATTTGCTCAAAACCTGTTTCTTCTAATTGCCATGACTCCGTGACATTGTTCTTTCAAAAAAATGACTTCAAATATCAGACTTTAATTTTTGTTCTTTTCCTTTTTAGAATAAGCCACATCAGAGACTTCATAATTGATTACCAGAGACATCAAGGAAGGAGACCTTTCACCCTGACTACATCACTTCCTTTTCAAGAGTTGTTGAATGAATCTCTCACACTAGAGGAAGCCAACTTAAAAAATGCTGTTGTTGTGCAAAGACTTAAAAATAATATTGAGCCTTTCCGGAGTTTCTCTTCCTAGCATTTTCTGCCTAAAAGAAAGAACAGTTGCAGGAAAGGTCTTGGAAAAGTGGAAGACAATATCCACACAATAGGTCCCCAGTTGTGACTCTTTTAATGTAGAACATCCAACTGTTAGTTGAGCGATTTTAGCTGAATCACTTCCACTTATGAGTAACAGTAATTTCTGTGTTTTATGTGATATCTACAGTGCTGCTTTGAAAGAGCATGCAATATATGCTGCACTAAAGCTACCCCAAAGTTTTTTGTTTGTTTGTTTTAAATAGCCTGTTAGAAAGTAGTAGAGCCAGCCCTCCTGAACTGGGTATTCTGTCACCAGTAAAGGAACATTTTAGGGAAAATCTTGAACACTTCTGTAAGTTTGAAGTTGAAAAAAATTTGAAAGCACAATTTGACTTCATTCTTGTTTATTTTATGTTATAGTTTGATATATTTTATTCTATCAATGCTACTGTTTGATAGTGACACAAATTAATATATAAATTTTATATATACAGAAAAACACCACAGGTAAACAGTCTTTAAGCATAATGACTGTTTCTTTTGAAAAATTTGTCTCCCAAGTTATGTTTTAGGATATCAGAGGAGCAAATGACTAAAGCAGCATCATGTCACAAGCTCTTTCATATGTATGTATACACACACATACGAAAGGATCAGAGCTTATGATGTGATTTTGGTTTTACTATTTTAATAAGTGTGTATGCTAGGGACATCTGACTGTACATGTGGACATAATTCCGCATGTATTAACTCCACTTTAATTATATGGGCATACCTCTGGATAGACCTAAATTTCAATTGCATTTTATGCCATTAAAAAGAAATACAATATCTGTAGTCCCAAATTATTTATTTAGAACTAAGCTCTACTGCTTTACTTCTGAGGAATGTTTCGACTGTTAGTTTTGAGACTGAAGCAATAAATAAGGATTCTGCCTACTATATCAGAAACAAAGTTCAGCTTTAACAGGCAAGCCTTCTGCCTCTTGGCTTTCTAAATAAAAGCAAACTTTGAGAAGATATTTCAAGCAACCATTAAGAAATGAAGCTGATTTAAGTGCAGTATTAGGGCTGCATGTCTGAATTGATTCAGAGGCAGATGGTTTAGCATATAAAATGCTGAGTTTTCATCATTTAAAATGTGTTGGTAAATGACCAGATCTGGACTAGGAAGCTAAGCAAGATCAGCCTTGGTTACAACCTGAATGGGAAGCTGCTAGGGAATCCCAGAGGTGTAGGGTAGGCTGTGAATTTAAGAAACAAAATCCCCTAAGGAAGAGGCAAACCTGTTCTGTACTGTAGCCAAAAATCTGCAAAGACACTTCTATGAAATTACCAGCTCAAATTGTCAAAAAGGTATTTCTGGTGATTTTAGAGTTTTTAATCATGTTGGTGTGATGAGGTGAGGTTATCAAGTGGAACTATATTATTGAGTCCTACCTGCAAGATTGTTCTAATTATTAATTTATTACACCTAACATTTTTAAAATGCTGGATGTAGAAGAAACAGTAATAGTCCCTTGAAAAATTCTAATCTGGTCTGATATCCAAAGGAAAGGGGGATAAGGAAATTGGGCAGAATCCTAATTCTTCATGGCTGTTGATCAGGAGAAATGGCCTGGAAGAAGAGGCAAGTCAGAGAACGCACCTTGCCTTCTGTGCATAACTCAACGATCTATATTCCAAAATGTCTTGCTCTTGGACACCCAGCAAGGTCACTTTCAGAAACAATAAGAACAGCACCGGGATTTGAACCTGGGTCCTGCCATGCTAGCAGGAAGTAAGAGCTGAATAATTAAGTCTGCCCCTGCTATCATCTTCATTTTTTTATTAAAGAGTATAAGCCAGTTTTGCAGCTGGGACATTTTTTCTTTGACGATCCATCTCAGAAATAAGGCCTCCTTTCTCCCACCTGTGCTGCAACAAAGGCATCAAACAAATTATAATGCCTATTGCACTTCTTTTAATACTTCAGAAAAGGGATTTTACCATCAGGATATATTACTTGGCCTTATTTGTGGATTCCATTGTTTGTTGGGCAAAAGTATTATTATTTTTTGACATGGCTGGATATGCAACCAATTTAAATTTTTCTCCCTTATTGTGGTAGGCCTCTTATAAACTTTGACTTGTAACTTATAAGAATGATGTGTGAACCTAGCTGGTTATGGCTAACATAACATTATTGAACAAGTCCTAGCCTAGCAAAGTATACATCCAGTATTTTTGTGTCTCTAGACAACTATGTTTTATGTTACCCAAATCTTGTGGGGGTTGCGTTTTTTAATCTTTTTCCTACACTTTTTATTTTAGTGTAAGTTATGATGGCCTGCTAATGGTTGATAATGGTGCAGTGGGCCTTGTTGGATACCAAGGGGTTTCTTACATCCAAGGCTAAATGTCAGAGACCCTGATGGATTCAAACTAAGTATAATGCTTGGGTTTTTTTGAATTGAACCAATTAATAACCCAAAGTAAAGCAAAATAAGGCTTTGTGTGGTATATGATCTGGGTCTTTATCATCTGCAAATTACCTCTAGCTAGTGACCAAGAGGAGGACCTAAGAGCCAAAGCTGACTAATATCATCCTTAGACCAAAAAGAGTTTGAAGCATTCTTTTATATATTTTTATATATGGATTTGTGTGCCTATTTTTTTAACTGGTTAAATGTTTTACCACAGAACTAGTTGATAATAAATGTTATGATCCTCTAAGTTCATTTTTTTTTTTTGCAAAAAGCAATATGGAATATACTTCCACAATTTGAAATGGTACATAATTTCATTTCTGTTAGTATCTTCTTTTGTGTAAGAATTGATTTTACTGATGCAGACCAATGGGGATTTTTTTATTTGTAAATTCCTGCAATGAAATAAACCTAAACATTCTTTAAAAGCATTAAAACTTTGCAAAGTTCACAGACTTCCCTACTTCTGTGTGAAATAGATTGTCTTTGTAAACGGACTGTTACACATGCAGATAACCACTTAAAAATGAAATATGCTTGAAATCTCAACAGCAATATGCTAACTTGTATATCAGCATACATAAAAACATGCATTCATACAATTCAGTATGTGTAGGTCCCTGTGTCTCAGGAAACTGAAAGGTCATCTCTTTTGATGTGTTATACCTTCTATACATTGTTTAAAAACTGAAGGCATAAAACTCTAACAGCACAGAATAATGTGGACTATAAAATTAATCAGTATAGGATGCTGATGTCTTCTATTTCTGGTTCTGTATAATGTTTCTCAAAATAACTGATCTTTACATCTTGTTTTATTTTATCTACACACTGTTCATCAATATACACATGTAGAAATGAATCTGTTGACTGGAATGCAATGTATCTATGTATTAATTTCAACCAGGACCTCTCATCAAAAACATCCACTTTATTTAAATTAAAAACCATGTATGAGATACAACTTCATAGTATGCTACTACATTGCTTTTTGGGGTTTTAGAATAATCAAATCTGAACGTATTCAGTAAAAAAGATTTTCCCTGCTTTTTCAAGTTATCCTCTTTAAATTAAAATGAAGAATGCATTGAAAAGCAACCTTAATGAGAAAAAAGCAACTCAAATTTCCTTAAGTAATCTATGAATAATGCTGTTTAGAAAATGATCTACATAATGTTTCACTGAGATTAGACAATTATCAGTCATAGCCATAGCAGCATCCAGATCTTGCAATTTTTGGGAGGCGTCAATGTTAACCAAGCTGAAAAACCCGACAGTCTCTGCGTTTAATCCCAATTGAGACTCGGGCGTCAAGGGGCAAAGAATAAAAATCTGTTTCAGCTTCGGTATATTTCCACCAACACAAACGGACTGCCACCATTGATAAATGTGGAATTCAGATTTGCTAACCTTACCCCAAAGCCTAATAATACTATGAAGTAATCATACTTAGTTGGAAATTAGATATCCGTACAGGTTAAACTGAGAATTGTTCCTATTTAAAAATATAATATTTTCAAAGTTCCGTTTTACACTTATTTTCCGTACAAAACCGAATTGGGAAGCTGAAGCATGAATGTAAAACAGGCTATTTGTATTCGTAGTGGAATTTTTTGTAGTTCGAAGTTGACATTTGAAGAGAAATATTAAAGTTTTTAAAAAATATATTTTGGGTTATTTCCGCGATAATACAACTTCACATTTGCAAGTTCTTAAAATGTGAAGTACAGTATTTACCCGATGGAAATATGGAATGTAATTTTGAACTAGTCACTTCCCCTTCAAAGTTTCTACGTTTGCCGCGTTGCGATATATTCTTAGAAAATCTCGTCTTTCCAATATCAGGTATTGTTCTATGCAGGACCTGGAGGACAGCAGGTTTGGAAAAAGTGAGTAATTTAGACTGGGGGGGGGGGAACACCTCGGTAGTCTTAATTTCTGGAGAATACCTATATACAAAATGCCTGAGATGCAGTGTATTTAGTTTACATTTGTAACGCAACACAGTACCATAACACATACAGACGGCCACCAAGTCTTTCCTGTAAGCGCGAGAAAAGCACGTTTGAAGCGATTAAGGTACTATTTGCACTGTAATTTCTAAGTCCCGCTTTAGGCACGAAAGCCGGCTGGGTGACTTTGGGCCAGTCCCTCTCTCTCAGCCTAACCAACCTCGCAAGGTTGTTGTTGGGGGAAAATAGGAGGAAGGTGTGTTGGATAAGTTCGTCGCCTTGAGTTATTTATAAAGGGGGGGGAAGAAAAAAACTTTTGTATTTATACCATGTATTTAGTCCATGTATTCAGTGAAGGCGAGGGTTACATGTCACGCAGCCACTACTGCAAATGGTGTACTGTACTTCGCCGTGAACCCAGCCCCCATAGCTTGCATTCCAATCGTTGCATCTTCCTGCAAATCAGTCCCAAAATGAAATGCAATCAACTGCGCGTCTGCACACCTAGACCGCGATTCAGAAATGGCCTCGCACGACGGCAGGTTTGCAAACCCGCCAACCGGATTCCCGGTTGCGCGAACCCACTCCGCATGTCCCGGGATGGAGTGAAATAAAACAGTATCAGACGGGCAGTCTGCGCTTAATGGGAGAAGGGGACGTTTTGGTGCTTCGTTGCAACCCATGCTTTCGCTCGGGGCTCTGAGCTTAAACTGGAAGCAAATGGCTCCTAAGCGGGTTGCAGGCTGTGTATCCCGCCCAGAAGACGCGCGTCCGACACGAGTTTCCTTCTCCGCGGTACAGGAACGTTCCATATCCTACCGAACGGGTCGGGAAGGCTCTGGGCAAACTGCGGGCAAAGCGGCGCGCTTTTCAGTGCTCTCCAGACAAGGCTCCCTCCTGCGATCGGTCCCGCCCCGGATTATCAAGTGCCGAAAAGCTGGCGGCAGAAAGGTGGAGGGGCTACTCTCTGAGCTGGGATGGCAGGTATTGGAGCAAAAGATCCGCCGCGGGGGCAACAAGGCAGGCTGTCTCCGAGCCCAGCATTGCAGACGACCGGTCAGTCCAGCGTCTTTCAAGAGCCAGAGCCTGAGCCGGGGGGGTCGGTCGAAGGGGTGAGTCTCGCGTTCCTCTGATTTACGCCGCCCAGCTTCTCAAGGCATGTTCCCGCGCCTTTTCTTGCTGGGAGGGACGGGAGAAGGAACAGGTGTAAGTTCCGAAGTCCAGGAATCCTCAGAGTCCAAGTGGCTTCCTAATGTACATCTCTTGGCAACTGTATTAGATTCATCATTGCCTTCCTCCATAATGCTTTTTTTTTTTTTTTTTTACTTCTTGATCTGGCCCGTAGTTCCTGGTGGTTTCCCATTCATGGACTAAATCTTGCTTAGCCTTTTGGGGAGTACAGTAGATATTAGCTGGGCATCTGATAATAGGAGATAAGATATGCGGAAAGAAAAGAGGTTGGTGGAATGATGGAATTCTTCAAGTACAGTATCAAAACACTGTTACATAAGGGAGGCAAAAGCTTTATCTTGGTTCTCCCAACAGTGCAGAACTAAACTGAAGTAGCTTCAGCTGTAAAAGGGTAAATTTTAGATAAACTTTAAAATTAATAAAGGAGGTGATAATGGAAGTAGTTCCCAGTGATGCCCTTCCTTGACCAGAGGTTTTGCTGGCCCATCTATTGATGAAATATGTCTTCTGAAGAGCAGTGCATTAGCCCCCCTCCATTTTGGTGGCATCATTTCCAAGGGGGCTAAACCATAAAGCTTACAGTGTCTACAGTCGCCCTACATTATTAAACCAAGGTGAAACAAGCATATTATGGCTTGATACAATAGATGACTCTAGGTATTATCCTTCAGAAGAGTGCATGATGATGGTGGGGTTATTCCAGCTGAATAATACAGACTAGGAGTGATGTCTTTTGGGGAAGTAAAAGAAGTAGGAACTTTCAGTCTCTGGGTTTTTTCTCTCTCTCCATGATGGCAATGCATATTAGGATGAAGTTCATCCTAGAAATGATATAAAAACAAGTGTATCTTAAAACTTCAGAACTATAAAAGGAGAAAATCATTGTCCTTTTCAGGAATTCAAGAAATATGCATTAAGTTAAACCAGGTCCTTGTATCAGTAAAGATAATCATGTAAAAAGTTTGCTTTTGACTAAGCATAGTCATTGTGATGTGTTCCATCAATTATGGTTATATAAGCACGAACCAGGTCACAGTCTATGATCCAGGAACAAGCCAGTTTGAATGCTGAGAATTTCAGTGAATTATGTGGAAGGTAGTGTTATTTAGATCTCAGCAAGAGGGTGACAAAGAAAATTATACTGTACTGTACTGGAATTTAAAATTTTCTTCTAAAACTGTTTTCAATAAGCTCTATTAGAATTACTAACTCCCCATTTCATATAGGCAAACTATAGATTATATATTTAAAACTCATTTGCAGCTTTTTTTTTTTTTTAGAAAGTTGCCTTTGTATTGTGAGTTCATGAAATACTTTCTTAAAGATGAATGCTCAAAGAAAATGCCTACAGGCATTAGTGATAAGGCTGGTCTAGAATTTTATCTGACAGCTCCATATTCTGTTGTTCCTTCCAGCCCTGACTGGACCAGTCTGATAATAATGAAGGAGTAGCTGCATTAGCAATTTCAAATTCATGAATTGTTTTTCATTTTATATATTAAATGGAGTTTGTTATTTGTTGTTCAGCTATAAAATTCAAATATACACACATACAAACACATATTTAGGCTAATGTAGTTTTACTTTAAAGCATCTTTCGTTATTCGCCACCTCTCTGTTAGCCCACTGTGCTCTTTTCAATATTCCCCATAATGGGGATTTATTCTGATACAAATTTGTTCCTTATAGGTTTGAGTGAGGGATGCCTTTTCATATTATAACTCCTTTGAAACCTCTGGCTGACTTGTAGCAGGATTCTCACATTCCACAAAAATCAAAAGTGGTTGATTTGGATTTATCATTTTGTGGACTCAAATATGAATATGATGAAAAGTGGTGTGAATATGAAAAGCATGGTGAAAAAAAACCTTGATTTAATGCAAACTAGAGTAATGACTGGCTCATGCTGAAGTTATCCCATCAAATGATGGTGGTTTGGATTAATGCAACATATGAAGCCACAGCTCACAATGCTGGCCATCCCTTCATGCAGCCCAGTGGCCAAGCCACAGCCCACAGGCTGGGGACCCTTGCTTTGTAAGTAGTTCTCGACTTATGAACACAATTTCTGTTAAGTGGATTTTGCTTCATTTTCTTGCAGTTTTCATAGCAGTTATTAAGTTAGTAGCAGTTAAGGGAATCTGGTTTCCCCATTGACTTTATCAGAAAGTCACAAAAGGCGACCTTATGACCCTGGGACACTGCAACCATCACAAATATGAGTCGGTTGCCAAGCATCTGAATTTTGATCACGTGACCATGGGGATGCTGCAATGGTCATAAGTGCGAAAACAGGCATAAGTCACTTTTTTCACTGCCATTGTAATTTTGAACGGTCACTTAATAAATTGTAGCAAGTCGAGGACTACTTGTATGGCCAATTCCTTTTCAGTTTTCAATTTATTAAGTTTGCATCCTACATTTTAATTAAAAATAATATTCTACACTACACTATTTTTCTTCAGATTGTCTTTTTAGGTATTATTTTATGGCCCATAGCATTTTCTTTTCTACAGTTGCATCACTGTTCCAGCTGCCTATCCCAGTCAGCAAGGCAATGCAGTACAATCAGGTTTCTTTTCCTAGAGCAGAACAACATATGTTGTGTCTGAGCAGGAGCCATTGCATGTGGCCATACCTGAACTTCTCTCAGTGCACTGCATAAAATGAAAACTTCAAGAACAGTTTTGAAAGCGGGCATAGGGGAACATGTTTCAGGCAGTATAGCTTAGCGTTCCTGTCTTTGGTTAAGTACATAAGGTACAGCCTCTCAAAAATGAAATGAAAAAGAAGAGGATGGAAATTTTTTTTTCTGCAGGATCCAATCTGGGTTGGTCACTGGAACCAGACCACCTCCGCCTAAACTGGACCCTAATTCCAACATTATTCCTACACACATATGTTTTTTCTGGATCTATAACAGCAATATCAGGATAATCTAGCACATTGAAAATAATATTCAGAGCAACTTTACTTTTATAACTGTTTTGTTTATTTCTCTGTAAGTTCTTTACATAAATAGCACTCCATTGAAAATTAAAATTACTTAATACCCATTTAAATAAGTACAAGAGATTTTATTGTGGGGAGGGCCAAGTGGATGTCCATATCAACAGAAAATATTAAATTCTTGAAATATATTATTGATAAGATCCATTCCAGAATTCTTGATCAAGCAAAATACACACACATACAGAGAGGGGGGGGGAGGGAGGGAGAGAGAGAGAGAGCAATGAAAAATATACAACATTAATGGCCAGTTTTCAAGATATTCAGGTCTCTTCATCAATCTAAAAGTTAAGCAAGGTACAGCCAAAGTGAAGAAGAGAAGTGAGGAATGATTTGACAATAGTCAAAGTCTTTGTATTGCCAGATTTGTGCATTAATAGAAGGAGGCATCACTTTTATATTGAATCCTATCCTGAACTTTCAAGAAATCCTTTGGTCTTTTCTCATCTTTTCAGCTTGCTCATGAAGACAAACTCTCTGTGTGCAGCAAACTATGCTATGGCATTGGAGGGGCTCCAAATCAGGTTGCAAGCAGTGCCACCTCATTCTTTCTGCAAATCTACCTCTTGGATATTGCTCAGGTAAGCAGTTTCGGAAACCTAAACGTCTTCAGATTCCAAAAATTATATGATCACCCAACTCACTCTCAGTGACTCCCGGTGGCTTAAAAAGATACTGCCGTCATTGGTCAGGTCTTGTGTGATAACTTAACATTAAATTCAGTTTAATCAGGTTTTCTCTTGATTCCACACTCTGATAAGAAAAACCACGGAAAGCAATTAAGATATTAATGATTTAGTTTATATTATTTTACCCCCCCCCAAATTCCAGAATTTGTTTTCCCCTGCTTCCCATAAGGAGGTGATTATTATAAAGGTGAGTTTTTGATTCATAGAACCTATTTTATTTATTTATGTCCCACCTTTCTTATTTTATAAATAAATCAAGGTGACAAACATAGCTAATGCTCCCTTTTCCTCCGGTTTTCTGCACAACAACCCTGTGAGGTAACTTGGGCTGAGAGAGAAAACTGGCCCAAAGTCGCCCAGCCAGTTTTCATGCCTAAGGTGGGACTAGAACTTACCATCTCTGGTTTCTAGGCCAGCACCTATACAGAGGTCCCCAACCTTTTGGGCACCAGGGACAGATTCTGTGGAGAAAGGTTTTTCCATGGACCAGAGAGTGTGTGGTTTTGTGTGCTACTGTATTCCACAGATGGGGCTTTGCTTGTCTGTGCGGATCGGTTGCTGGCATGCCGCAGACCGATACCAGTCCATGGACCGGGGGTTGAAGACCTCTGCCTTAACTATCCTCTGAATATTCTCCTATTTCTCTTTCCCCATCACTTAGAAAGCAGAGGGAGGTTTGTTCTCTTGATCTAATAAAGGAAAGTCTCCTTTGAATCATCTTTCACTGTCAGTGACTTCATGGGCCAATCGTATAATTTTCATGCCAATAATACTGAAGTGGTTTCTGTTGTATTTTTCTGTAACATTTGTCCAATATTTTGAAAAACTATCTCCCATATCATTGGAGTATGGATTCTATAACACCACACAAAAATCAAATGAAAATTGTCCATGGAGCACAATTCAAGATTTGCTGTCCTATTTCACGGACAATAAAAAAATATTTTGGCAACCATTAGTAACAATTAGATATTTATTTAAATATGTAGTACAAATTCCAGATGAATAAAATTATTTCAAACCAACAAAGTTTCTCATAGGATATCATAATCAAAAACAAAAATGTTTTATATAGGTCGTCCTTGACTAACAACAGTTTATTTAGTAACAATGGCACTGAAAAAAGTGACTTATGACAGTTTTTTACACTTACAACCATTACAGCATCCCCGAGGCATGGCAACTGACTCATATCTATAAGTGTTGCAGTGTCCTCAGGTCATGTGATCACCTTTTGCGACCTTCAAACAAGCAAAGTCAATGGGGAAGCCAGATTCACTTAACAGCCACGTTACTAACTTAACAACTGTGCAAGAAAGGTTGTAAAATGAGTCAAAACTCACTTAACAAATACCTCACATAGGAACATTAATTTTGGGCTCAATTGTGGTCATAAGTTGAGGACTACCTGTACAAGAAGAAATATTGTGATTTGGGGAAGTTATTTAGCACTGATGGCTTCATTAGATAAGTATGTTGAGCTCAGATAAGTGCTACTTGGTTTTTCAGATCCCTCCATTCCAGGCCTCCTTGGTGCAGGTCATTGGCCGAGCATGTGGAGCAGCTGCAGATCCTCTTGCAGGCTTTTTTATTAATCGGAGCAAAACAACCAGATTCGGGCAACTCATGCCTTGGTAAGCAAAGTTGATATAGTTGCTTCATTGTTGATGGCTTAGAAGTTTCTTTAATGCATTCATTCACTTGCATAGTGTCCAATCCAGGTACATGTTCTTGAATTTATTTGGCCTGGTTCATATACCATGTTAAACTACATTGGCTGCTTCATCTAAAATACTAAAAGCAATAAATCATGATTTAGAAATCACTATGACTTTTGACCAACATGTAAGTTAAAATCAAATAAATCAGATTTTATTCTTCATGAAAATGTATAAATTAATTTGATGATTTTTAAAGTTCTAATTTTTTTAATTATAAGAGATTTGCTAGTATTAAAAATATTTGGATTTATATGCGAAATGGTTATAGAGGAATCAGATCAGGAAGTCTGATCCTATTATAGATACAGGAACATTTTTCCCCCTTAAATTTAATTCAAAAATGTAAATTAGAAATCTAATACAAAAATTTATTTAATCGTTTAGAAAAGGAAAAATAGATGACAAATCTTTCCAAATCTTATCTCTCAAGAAACTGAACAACATTTCTTAAGATAATGTGATTGATTATGTGCCATCAAATTGATCTCAACTCTTAGCAATCAGATAGATAGATTTTCTCCTTGAAAATCAATTCCTTACTTGGTCTTCTAGGTTTTCCAATGGTGCATCCTTCACCACTATAACTAAGGCCATCCACATTGCTGCTCATCTTCATCTTCTCTTTCCTTCTACCTTTCCTAGCATTACAGCCTTTGCTACAGAACTAGATCTTTGGATAATGCATCTGCAGCAGGGTAATTTGAGCCTGGTCATTTGTGCCTCTGGTGAGAACTTTGGATTTGGATAAATCTATTTGTTTATTTTCTAGATTGTCCAGAATATTATCTGAAGTTTTCTCCAATAGAAGGTTCTTTACCTACTTCTTCAAAGTCTAACTTTCATTTCCTCGGATGTCACAGGGAACATCATTGCTTGCACTCTTCTGCTCTTTGTAGGTATAGACCAGGGATCTTCAAACTTGGCCCTTTTATGACTTGTGGACTTGCATGTCTGGCTGAGGAATTCTAGGAGTTGAAATCCACAAGTCATAAAAGGGCCAAGTTTGAAGACCCCTGGTATAGACATATCAGAGTGCCTGAATATCTTTGGCTGCTGTACAAAGTGAAAATGTGTGGTATATTTTGGGACTCCTCACTCCTTTACTCTTGATGATTAATCCTAAAAGGCAGAAGCTCTCCACCCTTTCATTATCTTCATTGTAATTTCTAAGACTTCTTGTTGCACCTCTCACTATTAGTGAGATGTTCTGGGATTCCCATTTTTCTAAGCATATTCCACCATTTGATGTTATTGATTCAATCCGAGGCCTTTCTGTAATCAATGAAGCACATAATGATATTTCCCCCCGGCTTTGTTATTTATCTAGCATGCATCAAAAATAATGTTTTGTGTTCCTCAGCCTTTCCTAGAGGCAGCCCGAACATCTGACATCCATTTGTAATATAGGACTCTAGTCTGTGTCAAGCTAAGCATTATTTTACTATCATGTGAAATTAAGGACATTGCATGATAGTATTCTATACAGTCTCTTAAGCCTCTTTTTTTTGTTTTGGTATAGGAATGTAGATTGACTTCTTCCAATCAGTTGGTCACAGTGTCATGTGGCATAGCTTGCTTAGAAACTTTACTACCGTTTCTTCTGTTGCATGCCATATTTCTTACAGAATAGAATAAAATAAAATATTCTATAGAATGGAATTCTATAGAATATTGTAATTGGACACACAGGGAATTTGCCTCTTTTAGCTTTTTTCAGATATGCACTTTCATTTTCTGTTATTCATTATACTTTTCTTCGTTGATTAGTTTATATTTGTATTCATATTCCAATCTGCCAGTATGGATGAAATTGGACTCTCTTCCTCTTCAAATAAACTCCAAATGTTTGTAGTTCAGGCTAAAATACAGGGATCTCATAATGAATGAACTAATGATGAATATTCTTCTTCTTTCAAAAAGAAACTAATCCACAATATTTGCTGTTCTGTTCCCATAAGACTCTGTTATCTACAACTAATAATCTACACTGGGAGGAGAAAAAGTGTGCTACCCAGCTAGACATTAGCATTATCGTGGTTGACTATTGTGTTATCAGCCTTCTGCAGTGTACAGTAGACTAGCCTCTTGTACAATTTCTTTTTTCCTCAAGAGAAACTGTATTAAATGGTGACTTTTTTTTCTTTTAAATAGATGGTTGTCCTCAAGACAATTAGAATTTAAAAAGAAATTATTTTGTAATAGCCTTAGCAGGCAGCATTACATAGCTGACCTTGGCTGATCTTAGAGATTTGATCCAGGCTAATACCTAATAGAGATAAAATCTGCCTGTTAAACTGAATAGTTGAAAACATAGCAAAAGAAGGCAATTGCAAGACACTTCCCTAACTCACTAAGAATTGAGTTTTACTTGAGGGCATCTGTATTCTTTTTAGTAAACATGCCCTATTTCCAAACAAAAAACAAAACACCAGAATCTTAATGTATCATCAGATTAGCACATTTATTTTAGTACAAGATTCCTTAAGTTATTACCCATTTCAACAGGTGGACAGAGCATTATTCTATGTTTGTTTGTTTGTTTTTGTACTTCTTAATCACCCATCTCCCTTGGATGTCACTCCTTATATGTCTTTGGTTGATTTTCAGAATTTTAGATACAATGGAGCTAATTTAGAAAATGGGGTGGGCTGCTGATCATAATAGTGGAAGAATGTACAGTCCTAGATTGACGCTAAATGATCTCTTTAATTTGTACAAGTAGTCCTTGACTTACAACAGTTAGTGTTCAAAATTATCACAGCACCGAAATACGTAATTTATGACTGTTTGCAGCATCCCCATGATCAAAATTAAAATGCTTGGAAACTGGTTCATATTTATGACTTTTGCTGTGTCTCGGGGTCACGTGATCAATTTTACAACCTGACAATCAAAGTCAATGGGGAAGTCAGATTCACTTAACAGCCAGGTTACTAACTTATCAACTGCAGTGATTCACTCAGCAACCGTGACAAGATAAGTCGTAAAATAAAAGATAAAATAAAATAAAAGATAAAATAAAAGATAAAAAGGACAAGTATAGAAAGTGGAAAGAGAGGTACATAACTAAGTCAAAATATCAACAAATAGCCCAAGCCTGCAAAGATGAAGTGAGGAAAGCTAAGGCTCAAAATGAACTAAGGCTTGCGACCAAAGTCAAAAATAACAAAAAAGCTTCTTTCAACATGTAAGAAACAAGAAAAAAGTGAAGGAAATGATTGGTCCATTAGTGGGGGAAAGTGGCAATAAGGTGACAAGCAACAAGGAGAAAGCAGAACTATTTAACTCGTTTTTGCATCTGTCTTTACACAAAGAGAAAAAATAGACCAACCTACCAAAAATAGTGCCATAAAAAACAGAATAGAAATGCAAGTTAAGATAGGCAAGAAAACGGTAAGTGAGCATCTGTCCAGTCTAGACGAGTTCAAATCACCAGGACCAGATGGATTACACTCCAGGGTTCTCCAGGAACTGGCAGATTTGATCTCAGAACCATTGAACTATATTTTTCAAAGATCCTGGAGCACTGGGGAACTACCGGAGGACTGGAAAAGAGCTAATGTAGTTCCCATCTTCAAAAAAGGGAAAAAATGGACCCAGGAAATTACAGACCTATCAGCCTGACCTCAATATCTGGGAAGATTCTGGAAAAGATAATCAAGCAACGAATCAGTGAACACCTAGAGGCAAACAAAGTCATTACTAAAAGCCAACATGGGTTTGTCAAAAACAGATCATGCCAGACAAATCTTATTGCATTCTTTGACCAAGTGACAAAATTAGTGGATCAGAGGAATGCTGTGGACATAATTTACTTGGACTTCAGTAAGGCATTTGATAAAGTAGATCAAAACCTACTACTTGACAAGATAGAAAAATGTGGGGTAGACAGAACCACCACCAGATGGATCCATAGCTGGCTGACCGGCTGTACTCAGCGAGTGGTCCTCAATGGAACTGCATCTATATGGAGGGAAGTGTGTAGTGGGGTGCCCCAGGGCTCTGTTCTGGGCCCAGTACTCTTCAACATCTTCATCAACGATTTGGATGAAGGGATAGATGGGGAAATCATCAAATTTGCAGACGACACCAAGCTGGCAGGAATAGCCAACACTCCAGAAGACAGGCTTCAGATACAGAAGGATCTGGACAGACTTGGACACTGGGCACTAACTAACAAAATGAAATTCAATGGTGAAAAAAGCAAGGTTCTACATTTAGGCAAGAAAAACCAAATGCACAAGTACAGCATAGGTGGCACCATGCTCAATAGTAGTAACTGTGAGAGGGACCTTGGAGTCCTAGTAGACAATCACCTAAATATGAGCCAGCAGTGTGCTGCAGCTGCCAGAAAGGCCAACACAGTGCTAGGCTGCATTAACAGAGGGATAGAATCAAGATCACGTGAAGTATTAATACCACTCTTCAATGCCTTGGTAAGGCCACACTTGGAATACTGCATCCAGTTTTGGTCACCACGATGTAAAAAAGATGTTGAGACTCTAGAACAGTGGTTCTCAACCTTTCTAATGCCGCGACCCCATAATACAGTTCCCCATGTTGTGGTGACCCCCAACCATTTATACATCACCGGGTGCCAGGGGCGTGGCCAAAGAAAAGGGGGAAAAAATGGCGGACAGCCTTGTTTGGCGACCCCCGTGAAATGGTCGTTCGACCCCAAATGGGGTCCCGACCCACAGGTTGAGAACCACTGCTCTAGAAAGAGTACACAGAAGAGCAACAAAGATGATTAGGAAACTGGAGGCTAAAGCATATAAGGAAAGGTTGATGGAACTGGGTATGTCTAGTTTAATGAAGAGAAGGATGAGGGGGGACATGATAGTGTTCCAATATCTCAGGGGCTGCCACAAAGAAGAGGGAGTCAAGCTATTCTCCAAAGCGCCTGAAGGCAGGACAAGAAGCAACGGATGGAAACTAACCAAGGAGAGAAGCAACCTAGAACTAAGGAGAAACTTCCTGACAGTTAGAACAATTAACCAGTGAAACAACCTGCCTCCAGAAGCTGTGAATGCTCCAGCACTGGAAGTCTTTAAGAAGAGATTGGACAGCCATTTGTCTGAAATGGTATAGGGTTTCCTGCCTGAGCAGGGGGTTGGACTAGATGACCTCCAAGGTCCCTTCCAACTTTATTATTATTATTACAAATATGGCAAAACGCTTAACAAATGAAATTTTGGACTCAATTGTGGTCATAAGTCAAGAACTATCTGTACTTAACAACCCACGACCTTTAGGGTCATCCTTAGACTCTTTCCTAACAATCCTCAGCAGAACCCCGGTGAAGTTGTCTTTTCCTCTGCCTCCTCAGCTGGCCCATGGAAGTACCTGTCACTTTGCTGGGGAACAGGGAAACAGTGAGTTGCAGACCACGAGGAAAGCGTACCTCCCCACTCTGCGGAGTCTCTAAGGCCCCCTGTCCCTCCAATAAGGAAGAGAGTTTACCCATTAACTGTTGGCACATCTCTGCCTGTCCTACCACACTAGCAGTTATCCAAGTTGTTCCCTTATCTTTCCCTTGCCACGCACAGCTATTAAGAGATTTCAGTTTTCAGCCTTAATACCAAAGCAGTCAGTCAGGGTCAGCTGTTGAGCCTTGCCACCAGCTGATTGGATATAGTGGCCAGAGGGAGGTGGGAAAAAGAGTGGAGATAGACTCCTCCCACTTCTCGCCAGACAACCTATGAGTTTCTGGGAAGTATAGCCTAAAATTATGATTACATGACTGTTTCCAATCGTAGCGACACTGCAGTGGCCACAACTTTGCAAATACAAGTGGTATGAAAATACTTGACATTTCAATTACAAAGAAGTAATGAGTCCTGAATCTTGGATGCATTTGTTAAATTATTTGAAGTACCTTGAATCAAAAATTGTTGCCCTACAGTGTACTGTTTTGACCAATTGAAGGTTACTAATAGACAAGCAGGAGAGTTTTAATAATACATAAAGATGATATCATGAAAATGTCTTCTTATGTGATGGGATTTTATATGTGTATTTCATTTCATTTGGCAAACACTCTTTCTATCCATCCAAAAATTTGGGAATGTGTGGCAGGGAGAAGGCTAATGTGCATGGAACATCCACTCTCTCCCCCATCACACTATATTTGGCCATAGCAATTGCTGTTGTGGAAGAGGAATTCTTTATATAAGTATCAAAAGATTAATTAATGCAATGGTCTAGAGCAGGGGTAGGCAACCTTGGCTTTTTTTTATGACTCGTGGACTTCAACTCCCAGAATTCCTGAAACAGCATGGCGGGCTCAGGAATTCTGGGAGTTGAAGTCCACGAATCATAAAAGAGCCAAGGTTGCCTACCCCTGGTCTAGAGGCAGCCAGTTTTGCTTGATATAGAATCCAAAAATGTGGTGATAATACAAGGTTGTCTAGATATATCCTAGAAGTATACCACTCAGAAGTCCATTCTGAAGAAGACAAATCTCCTGAACAAAATCATTTTATCACTTTGTGTCTCAAATTGGAAAGACATAAAAGTAGGAGGAATGCCATAACCTTTCCGATATTCCTCTGCATGGAATCTCTACACACAGTTGTCTTTTTGAAATTGCAGCTAGTCCTCCTTTAGCAACTGCAGTTGGAACTGGCAACTCAATTGTTAAGCATCACAGTTGCTAAGTGAAATTGTGAATGTACTTATGAACTTACTTCAGCTTTTCTTTGCTTTATGGACCCATGAAGGCTGTAAATGCATGGATTGGTTACAAAATTACTTTTTATCGCCATCATAACTGTGAATGGTCACTAAACAAGACACTTGCTAAATGAGGTCTACCTGTAAAGTTTTTCCAATTTTTGAGGGACTATCTCATCTTTGTGGTTTTTTGTTTTTGTTTTACTCTGAATTATATGAATTGTGTTAACTTACAAATTGTAGCTATTTCACTACAAGCCTTCGTAAACAGATTCTAAAATGTTCCACCTTGAGAACAAGATAAAAAGATCAAATATGCTGAACTAAGTTTGTCATGCATTCTATCTTTTCCCTTTTGTTTAGTTCTTCATTATTTGTGATAATGTATTTTTGTCTATGTTGCATGAATGGGATGGTTAAAAAAATGCTCTTCAGATAATACTATTCTGATGGGATTAATCTCTGTGTTATCTATTCTTCCCAGTTTTTGTTAATAACATCCATGGTCATCTGATTACATTGTGTAGTAACAGCTTTACAAGAATGCTGGAGAGTTCTGTTATAACTAGAGGTCATGCTCTGGGAAATAACTACCTCTGCTCACCCCTCACGCATAGCAAGCTAGAACATACTGCCTTTTGTCCCTTAATGTTACACCAGTTTGACTGATACACAGAATTGTTTATCAGGCATGGGTTCATTTAAGGGTTGTTTAGAACTGTTTTACTGATTGATCTGTTAATTGGAGTTGTTGCCATGAAAATAAATGGAGGCCACATCAGGCCCACATTCATAAAAATTGACCAATGCAAACCTGTGTTTAGATGTCAATGATTGGTAGATCTTTACATTGAGCATTTGTGCACGATATGATAAACCATGTTTAAAACTAATCATGGCAAACTTATTTACCATGGGCGCCACAATAGACTATACAGCAGATTGTGGTTATCTGCAGTTTGCCAGTCAACTTTTCTTTCTATGTTTATAAACACCATTGAGTTTATGAAGTTCTGTATTGACCCATTTGTAAGGATATTTTCATAACTGAAATTTAAATTAGCGTTTGCATTTTCGGTCTCAGCAAATGATAAAATATAGAATCTAAGATGTGCATTCAAATGTTAAAAGGCTGTATTCTGCTTTCTAGGAGGAAAGAAAAATAATTTTAAAAGCAATATTTTCAGTTTTTGATTTGTTTTATTTCAATATTTATGAAGTATTTGTTATTTTCCATGTACTCTCAAATCCTGCATAGGGGTAGATTATCTGAGTGGGACTATTCTTTTCATTTTACTACATGTATACTTGTTTGCTTTTACTCCAGGTTGTTGGGTTGCACACCATTCACGATTGTGTCCTATATCTTGATGTGGTACTTACCTCCCTTCTTATCAAATCGAATTCTGTGGTATCTGACTTTTTATTGCCTTTTCCAAGCCCTGAGTACAGTAAGTTGATTGGTGCTAAAAATCATTTTTTTTACATATAGCAAATATGTGATATATGGCTATCATATCAGTGAATTACACATTTTTTCAGATAAAATGGTGTCCCTGTTAAGTCATAGAGTTCCAAAAGGGAAGTACTGTGTATTTCTGGGATAATTATATTAATTGAGTAATTCAAAGAGAGTGCACAAAGCTAGTAGAAGATACTGTTCACTGTATTTTTAATTACCGTAATTCCATTTGTCTGGAATAAGGTCTCCTACTCTAGCAGGGGGTTGTACTGGAAGACCTCCAAGGTCCCTTCCAACTCCATTGTTTTATTTTCTACTATAGCATGTCAGTTTTTTTTGTCTGTTGACCAATTAGATCAGGGGTGTCAAACTCACAACATCATGTAACGTGTCGTGACGTATCAAAACTTTTTTTCCATTGCCAGCAATGGGGTGGGCACGGTTTCGGCATGATGCATCTGGCCCGCGGGCCACCAGTTTGACACCCCTGAATTAGATCAACAGAAAAACAGTCATGCTCCCAGAATGACAATGCTTTATTACAAAGATGAAAAAAATGTTTTAGTGTTTGGAATTTCCATCCAGTGATTGCTTGATTTTGTTGGTTGGCATATTTTTAAGGCTGTGATTGAAGTATGGCTTTTGTGGGTTGTAGAAATTATCTGACGTTCATAGGCAATATCAGAAGAAGTCTTGTTAGCATCTTTTCCTATTAACACAATTTATTAAAGGGCATAAGCTTTGCAAACTGCAACACATTTCATCGGTGCGTAGAATAGCTTAACTCAGGGATCTTCAAACTTGGCCCTTTTATGACTTGTGAACTTCAATGCCTAGAATTCCTCAGCCAGGTATGCTGGCTGAGGAATTCTGGGCGTTGAAATCCACAAGTCATATAAGGGCCAAGTTTGAAGACCTCTGGCTTAACTGATGTAGGATTTAAAAGGATTGGAATGGAGCTGTGAGTGGAGGAGAAGGCGGGTTGATTATGCAGATATATTTCATGTGAGATAGATTATAACTACCTTATCAATTAACGGTTCACGTGTGTTTTAAAAATCCATTGTATTTGTTGAGACCTTCAGACAGAGAGAGACTAAATCCTTTTGAAGTATGCAAGTTCAACCATCTCAGTAATGCTGTAAAAGTCTTGTTTTTTCAAATTAATCATTCCAGATGGTCATTTCTTGGGGTTTGTGGTGGTGATGTTGGTGTACATTATTGCACTATAATATTGCTATCCTGTAAAAGTAGTTTTACATGGTACTATTGTGATATATCATATTTCACTGGAAAAAAAATATTATAACACTGTAATACTATCGTGCTAATTTTTATTTATTTTATGTATTAGATTCGTCTGCTGTCCATAACACTGGTCAAAAAAGGGCTGGGTTTTTAAAATTAATAATATTGCTGTTTTATGCTAAAATAATGTCTTATTAACAATCTTCCAATGCCCCCATGTTATGAGTAGTAAACGTTAATGTAAATCATCACTATGCAGTTTGAAAATAAAAATGCCATAATTATTTATTCTTTTAAACTATTTGTGATAGAGCTGCTAAGTATTTTTGCTATAGCTGTACCAGGTGCCATATTCTGCTCTCACCATGTTTCTGAGCACAGATCAAGCAGATCGCGATTCAGCAACTGCCTACCGTGAGTTTCAAAGCCAGCTTTTGATTTTGGGAGGGTGGGGGAGTGAGGGAGACATTGGGTAGGGTGGGGACACAGCTGTGGTCTCCATCTTAGCATGGAGCTACAACTTCCTTGGAAAGTTTTTAAAGGATGGAGATTCTTTGTTTATCTTTTATTTTCAACTGTGTTCAATTTATTCTAAAGATTGTGGAATTTGCTTATTGTGCTTTCTGTCTCAAAACGGTCCTGAAACTCAACAAGGCCATTCTGTGGGATATAGGAAGAAGCCATTAGAGCCACCCCATCATTTTATCTAGATAAAAACCTAATGGCTGGTCAAAAGACCATCCTTGGTGAGGTTTTATTCATTGTTAAATCCTTTTGATGATATCAAGAGATAATATTGTTAGTCAAATGAGAAAGTGAGAGAGACAAGGTGACTAATTTGACATTAAGATTTTTTTACAATTCAGATTAATGTACGTTAAAGACGACAAAAGAGGAAACATTTTTTGAACTCACTGTAAACCATACTGTGTCATAGATCTAAAGTCTGCTTTTTCATGTTCATTGGGAGAAAATCATCTTTCAACATTTACCACAGTCTCTTGTGCTGTTTCATATTAGCATGTTCTTGAGCAAGATTTTGAAAAGCAAAATAGTTCAGGTGTTAATTTACATATAATGCCAAGCTAAACACTTGGACAAGCTTTCATTCTCCTTACTCCCTTTGCAAATACTGAATTTATTCCCCACCATATGGAGGGAGTAAAAGGAAAGCACTATATGACTTGTTTCAGCTCTGATTTGAAGAGCAAATGCAAGCAATAGTTGAACAATTCAAACAGACAAATTGCAATTTCTGTCAACTAGAAAACCTAGAAAGAAATGGAGCAGAGAGAAGGAAATGTGTGGGCCTGAGGCTCAGTCAGATAGAGACAATTTATGACATGTAGATTTCCATTGATTCTCTAGAGTCTGTGCATTATGCTAGAAGATAAATGCACCTAGGAAGAGATAGCTTTATAATAAACCACTGGTCTTTAAGTAATCCCAGGGTTTTTTTTCATTTCCTTGCTCATATTTCTTGAATTTCTGACTGCATGTTACAATGGCTCCCATCTCCCATTATGGTACTGCTTGATATTCACTGCAATATACATATAAATCACTGTTTTACTGTTGAAAGCTGTCTAGAGGGGTACGTATGTCAAAATCTGCAAGATGTGCTCCATTTACAAAAGGGATGGGGTTTGACTCCTGAAGCTGCACCCACCACCTTAGAGATTTTGATCCCTTTGTGGGGGGAAACTGTCTGCTTCTGTTTCAGCATTCATTAAACAAGCCAGATTTGTAGAAGTGGTCTGTTTTCCTCCCATAGGAATGGCATTTGAAGTTCTTGGAACACTGATTGGAGCTACGCTGCATGGCCAGATAGTTGCCGGTGCTCACACTTCTAGCCACTGTAGCCAAAATGAAACTATTGGGCTGCACCAAAACAGCTCTGAAGTCATAGATGTGTCTTATGGAGTAAGTCAAAAACATTTTGTAATGTTTTTATAGTGCTACATCACATTAGAACGAGGATGTCAAATTTATTGTAATAGACCCGGGTCTTAAATATTTTTTCAAAGCAAGTCTCATTTGAATTTAGTGGGACTTACCAAGAAATGCTTCTTATTTCATTTATGTCTAATAACCATCTCTTCACTGTGATTTGGAAATGATGTATCATAAGGACTTGCCAAAAAGTGGCAAGACACAAGGATTAGTGTAGAGATGATCCTGTGTGTCAGGCATGTCAAACTGCCAGCCTGTGGGCCGGATGCATCATACCAAAACCGCACCCACCTCATTGCCGGCAATGGGGGAAAACGTCACGTGATGTTGCGAGTTTGACATGCCTGCTATATGTACAAAATCCAGATGTATGCCTGATATCACTTAATTCACATAATGGAAAAGCATAATTGGATACAACTGCAATGTTTTACATGTCGATTAATTGTATGCGGAATGGGTAGTTGATCATGGTGACATTGCCACACCCACTTCACTCCAGCCCCCTCCCCCCAATCGCAGCCAACCTATCATGGGCATTCATTCTCAGCTGTCCCTCTGCCAGGACACTTGCCCTGTCATTGGTCTCCCACCCACCCCTCCCCCATGAAGCCGTGGACAATTCACCCCAGTGGGCGCGATCAATTGCCCCATTCCACATACAATTAATCCATATGTAAAACATTGCAATTGTATCCATTTATGCTTTTCCATTATGTGAATTAAGTGATGTCAGGTATACATCTGGATTTTGCACATATAGGATCATCTCTCATCTCTACACTCACAGGGGATAAGATAAAGGCAAAGTCATGGGAAAAGTTGCTTCCAAGGCATGTTTGTGCTTTAGTAAGGTACAAGTCAGCTCCTGGTGCATTTAGTTTGCAATGTTCCAAAGGATATCCACATTTTTCAGTGTTCCCTCAATGAATGCATGGTCTGTAGTATCCACTTCTAATACAACTGTTTTGGCTCTTCTACTCACATTCTAATATATAGTTAAATTGCAGATGTTAATTTAGGTATTTAAACTTTATCTCTGGCAGCTTTTGTTCACCAGTGATTGCATCTGGTCCAACAGATTTATAGAAGATGGAGGGAGGTAGTACCCTAAGAATAAGATCCTGTAGGCAATTAAAGAGGGATTATTTAGATAAGACTGATAATTCTTAATCTCTGCCATCTACCAACAAACTAGTCAAATGAATTGGTTTTCTGAGTTTCCTTGTAAAGTTGCTTGTCATTAGAGCTCTATTTTCTTTAGGCCATTGTTTGTTCTTTTATTATTTGTTTCTTACTTCTGTCATTTGGTTGAAATCTTTTCTTACCATTGTCTTTAAAGAAAAAAGTCTACATGATTGCCGCTGGGCTGATAGGAGGCATCTACCTTGTTGGCATCCTTTCCCTGTTCTTTGGAGTGAAAGAAAAAGTTGGTGAGCATAGTTAAAGCTTTTTAATATATATTTCTGTGTGTCTATTTTCTCCATTCAATCTACAATCTCATACAAACAATGTTGTTGTGAGGACCCACCCCACTTTGCATCTTAAGAAGACAGAACTCTTGGAATAATTCTTCCAACAGGAATCCTTTATTAAGAGAAAATGGTTGCAGGCATGCTAGACAGGACTTGGGGTTCAAGCTCTCCCATTCAAGGTTTTAAGGGGTTCCCCAGTAGTCCCACCCAATCAACCCCCCTTCCAGTGATAGTTTCAAGTATCACAATTCCATCCCCTTTCTTCTTCCGTCTGGATGGAGACTTCAGATAACTACATGAAAGGCAATTACTCTTCTTTGATATGTTAAAGCTTAGAGGCCACAATAAACACACATTCAGTCCTTTGAAGTGTGCTGAAGGAAGTGAGGGCCATAAAGCCCCTTTGCTCTCCCCCTTTTCTCCCTCTTATGGCAGAATCCAGAGAAGGCAGAATTGGGAGTTTCTATGTTTGATAATTAAAGATGAAATATAATTGGATTCTGACATCCGGCCCCTCTTAACAATAAGAGAGATCCACCTGAAAGAAAACACAAGTAAAAAATTTAGTTAGGCTTGTTAGGATACTCTGTGTGAAACTTCTTCAATAGCTTCGGGGCTCTGACGTGACGTTTATGGACCCACTCATTTTGTGAGGCAGGGAGGTGTTTCCAGGCAACTAGGTACTGAGTTGTTCCACGATATCTCCTAGAGTCAAGGATCTCTTTTATTTCGAAGTGTTGTTCCCCCTCCACCATGATTGGAGGTGGTGGGGGGGGGATTTTTGGCCGTAGAGGTGACTGATGCTCTCTTTTCAGCAAGCTGCAATGAAAAATTGGGTGTATTTGCCTGAGGTTTTTGGGTAATTCTAATTCTACTGTTACTGGATTTATGATCCTTTTAATTGGAAAAGGTCCTATATATTTTGGTCCAAGTTTTTTACAGGGCTGTAGGGACTTTAGGTATTTTGTAGATAAGTACACCATTTCTCCTATAATGAATGGTGTAGGCTCAACCCTTTTTTTATCGGCTTGTGCTTTGTATGCCCGCCTAGCTTCATCTAGTGATTTTCTGACTATTGGCCAGGTGTTTTGTAGGTTTTCCATCCATTCTTTCAGTGAAGGGATCGTTGGTTCTTTTGGGGTTAACTCTGGCATAGGGTTGAAACTTTGGCCGTTGGCTATTTGAAAAGGAGTGTAGCCTGTGCTGGAGTGGACTGCATTATTGTAGGCAACTTCTGCAAAAGGAAGTAAGTCCGTCCAATCACTCTGTTGGAAATTTAAAAAACATCTCAAATATTGCTCAAGTACCGACTGGCAGCGTTCCGCTTGTCCATCTGTCTGAGGGTGATGGCTAGATGTCAGTCCCTGAGTGGTCCCTAAGAGGGATAAAAATTCCTTCCAAAATGTAGACGTAAATTGCACTCCCCTATCAGAGATGATGCGTTGGGGTGCCCCGTGCAATCTGTAAATGTGCTGGATAAAAAGTTTTGCTAAGGCCTTTGCAGTGGGAATTTTTTGGCAAGGGATAAAGTGCACCTGTTTGGAAAATAGGTCCGTGACTGTCCAGATAACAGTATTCCCATTGCTTTCAGGCAATTCCACTATAAAATCCATGGCTATTTCCCTCCAGGGGGCTGAGGGACTTGCCACTGGTTGTAACAGCCCTGGCGATTTCCCTTGCAACCTCTTTGCTGATGCACAGGTTGGGCAGCTGGCAACATAACTTTCTATGTCCTTTTTTATTGATGGCCACCAAAATTGCCGTTTAATTAAGTGTAAAGTTTTTACAAATCCAAAATGCCCTGCTGATTTTGTGTCATGGCAAAGTTGCATGAAAGTTAGTCTTTGAGTTGTTGGTATATATAACTTTTCCCCTACCCAAGGCAATCCGTCTCTCATTGTGCACACATGTTTGTTTTTCTGGAACCAATCATCTGTTTCCAAACTTTTTCTGAATTCAATCCCAGTTTGGCTGTCCAGTTGTGGTTTTATTTTGGCTTGGGTTCTTGTGGTTACTGGCGCTGCCAGTTGTGACTCTGCCATTATTGGTCTAGAGTCTGTGGTTCGTGCGCTGTTATATTGGGGCATGCGAGATAGTGCATCTGCCAGGAAGTTCTTTCTTCCTGGTAAATGTTTGAGCTTAAATTGGAATTGGTGAAAATGCTGGGACCAGCGGGCTTGTTTGGGATTGAGTTTCCTGGAAGTTTTCAGGGCTTCTAAATTTTTGTGATCAGTCCATACCTGGAAGGGGATTTTGTTGCCTTCCAGGAACTGTCGCCACGTGAGTAATGCCCAACGTATCCCATAAGCCTCCTTCTCCCATACGGGCCAGCGCTGTTCTGTTTCCGTGAGTTTCTTAGATGTATATGCACAGGGTTGCAATACTGCATCATCATTTTCTTGTAATAGCACAGCCCCCACTGCCACATCACTTGCATCTGCCTGTATTATGAAGGGTTTGTCCATGTCTGGGTGCCTTAGTACTGGTTCGGCAGAAAAAAGTCTCTTTAGTCTCTCAAACGCTGCTTGGCACTCCATTGTCCATGTTAGTGGCTGGCTAGGTTTTACTGAGGATGTTCCCTTCGTTTTTAGTAAGTTAGTGAGGGGCAAGGCTATCTGTGCAAATGAGGGGATGAATTGGCGGTAAAAATTTGCAAAGCCCAGGAAACTTTGTAGTTGCTTTCTTGTGCGGGGTGGTGCCCATTCTAATACTGCTCTGACCTTCTCTGGGTCCATTTCAATGCCCTGTGGGGATATGCGATAGCCTAGGTAGTCTATCCTTTCCTGGTGGAATTCGCATTTTGAGAGTTTGGCATATAGGTGAGCGGCTCGCAGCTTCTTTAAAACCGCTCTGACAAGTTTGACGTGTTCTTCTTTTGTTTCGGTAAAGATAAGAATGTCGTCCAAGTAAACAAGGACCCCCTTAAACAGGTGCTCCCTTAGAACGTCATTGATTAATTGCATAAAGACTGCAGGGCCCCCTTGTAATCCAAATGGCAAGACTTTGAATTGATAGCACCCCATGGGGCAGTTAAATGCAGTCTTCCATTCGTCCCCTTCCTTGATTCTCACTCGATAGTAAGCTTCCCTTAAGTCTAGTTTAGAAAAAATTTTCCCTTTCGATAGGTGTGACAGCATGTCTTTCATGAGGGGCAGCGGGTATAGGTTGCTTTCACTGATTGTATTCAGGGCCCTATAATCCACGCATAAACGTAAGGAGCCATCCTTCTTCTCTCTAAAAAGGACCGGGGCAGCCACTTTAGGCTTGGCTGGCTCAATGAAACCTCTCTCCAGGTTTTTTTTTATAAATCTTTCCATTTCCTCCTTCTCCTTTGGGCTCATGGAGTATAATCTGGGCTTCGGGAGTTTTGCCCCAGGCTTGAATTCAATGGTACAGTCTGTGGGTCGGTGGGGGGGAAGCTCATTCGCCCTCTCCTCACTGAAGACTTCAGCAAGGTCCCTATATTCCTCTGGTATTTCTGTTAATCTTTTTTCCTCTCCTATGGATGCTTTTTCTATTCTTGATTCTGGTAGCCTCCCTTGGGGTTTTAAGTCCATAGGGTCCCCCTTCGGGAATTTGATTTCTGTCGTCCTCCAATTTACCCAGGGGTTCCATTTTTTCAACCATTCCATCCCTAGAATCATTGGGCATTCCATACCTGGGGTCACCACAAACGTTAAGTCCTCTTCATGGTTGCCCAGGGAGAGATGTATTGGCAAAGTGGCTAGGGTAGCTGGCACCCCCCCTGCTATGGATCCATCTAGCTGGCCAAATGAGATTGGTTGTTCCAGTCTCCTGGATGGGATGCCCAGATTCCCCACTAGTGTTGGGCTAATGAGGCAGCGGGTACAGCCAGAGTCTATTAAGGCTTTCACCTTCACAGCTTCGGGCATGGGGGGGATTAATATAGTCACTGTTTTGAAGATGGGTGTGATGCATCCACTTACCAGGGGTTCGCCCTCCGAGCTGTCATCTGAGGCATCCACCGGCCCTGTGGTGTAGGCTGGAGTCCTTTCCCTTTGGTGAGCAGAGGTGGGGGTTTCTGCAATTTCCATCATTCTCATGGCCGTTTCTTTTGGCTTAGCTGAATACTTTCTGGGTTTGTTGATTGGGGATCTGTCTGGGTTGTGCTGGGGGGCCTTTGAGCGGCATTCTACAGCTCGATGCCCTTCTCTTCCGCACTTGAAACATCTCATTTGCTTCTTGGCTGTATCCGATGATTTCACCGGTTGGTGTGTCAGCTCAGGCGGGGGGCGGCTCCATTGTTTTCCTCGGCGGTGCCTCTTCAATATGTCGATCTCTGCTTCCTCTGCCAAGACGTACCATTCCTCAAGTCGATGTGGGTCCCCTCGGGGCAGGCAAGCATCATATAGATCATAGTTTAGTCCGTCTTTGAAATGGCCAAGGAGGATGTCTTCTGGCCAATTCAGTTTGCTGGCAATGGCCCGGAATTCTTGTGTATACTCAGCCACTGGGCGTTTGCCCTGCCTCATCGTTGTTATTTTTTCACGGGCTTTGCGATCAGCCAGGGGGTCTTCAAATCGTCTTCTCAAAGAGGACATGAAACGGTTGAAGTTACTGAGTTCTGGGGCATTGGAGTCATGCAAGTTCACTACCCAATCCGCAGCTGGTCCATCCAGGGCAGATTGCACGATCCGGATGCGGGCTTTGTCGCTGGGAATGTCCTGCCCATATTCCTCCATGTAGCTGAGGACTTGGGTTAGGAAAAATCCCAAGCGTGTTGGCTCCCCTTTGAATTTCACTTCCAACGGTGGACGTCTTGGAATGGATCGGTGCCTCTGTTGTGGGTGGTAGTGCCTTCCGTCCAGATTGCCATCTGTGGTCCGGTAGGGGGTGGGAGCTCCTGGATCAGTAGATGTCCCTGGGGTTGCAGGTTCCACGTTCCCCTCGGTGTCTCTCCCTTTGCGGCTCCAGGAATTGGGGCAGCCGTAGGGTTCAGTATTCTCCTCTCCTAGGGAGCTGAGAGTTCTCTTCATCAGGTCAATAGCTTTCTCTAGGATCCAGTCTGAGTACGGTGCCCAGCTTCCTCCCTCTTCACTTGCGTGCAGGGATTTCTCCATCTCCTGCTTCCATTCTGGTTGCTTGGTCCCCCGTCTCAGGGTCACCTTTCTTGATTCCTTTCCCCACTCACTTTTCTTTCCAACGCCCATCGACCAGCGAGGCTTGTGGTCCTGTGTCTCCACCACTTCTTCTCCTGAGGAATCTGGCCTCTCGGATCCCAACATCTGGCAAGGTTCCAACTGGGTCAGCGGCTCTCTTTCCAGGGAGTTTTCCCCCTCTTTTGCTCCATTGTCTGACATGGTAAATTTTTGCAAAATCCCCCGGCAAGGGTCTTCCTTCCAGGTGGATTAATTTTGCAAGTCCTGTCTAATGTAAGGACCCACCCCACTTTGCATCTTAAGAAGACAGAACTCTTGGAATAATTCTTCCAACAGGAATCCTTTATTAAGAGAAAATGGTTGCAGGCATGCTAGACAGGACTTGGGGTTCAAGCTCTCCCATTCAAGGTTTTAAGGGGTTCCCCAGTAGTCCCACCCAATCAACCCCCCTTCCAGTGATAGTTTCAAGTATCACAATTCCATCCCCTTTCTTCTTCCGTCTGGATGGAGACTTCAGATAACTACATGAAAGGCAATTACTCTTCTTTGATATGTTAAAGCTTAGAGGCCACAATAAACACACATTCAGTCCTTTGAAGTGTGCTGAAGGAAGTGAGGGCCATAAAGCCCCTTTGCTCTCCCCCTTTTCTCCCTCTTATGGCAGAATCCAGAGAAGGCAGAATTGGGAGTTTCTATGTTTGATAATTAAAGATGAAATATAATTGGATTCTGACAGTTGTATATATTCCACCCATTATAGATCCATACACCTTAATGCCAGACAAAAAAGTTCCTTTCTTTAAAGGACAAAAGCATGCAATGAAGCATCAACCATATTTGATATTTACAGCAGCATTTCTTCTGATTTTAACAGCGGTTCAGGTAATTCTTAATTTACACAGTGTCCGCATCAACATGGTTTGTATAAATTGCATTGAAGAGTCTATGCAGCTGCAGCATAAGAACTTGATCATATATACTGAATGTAATCTTACTTTCCTTAAAGACCAACCCTCTTTTCCGTAAAAATCAGCCCAATATCTTCTGGGGGCATTTTACAGATTTTGGCTATCTTCTGGTGTTTTTATTATTTCATTATCAAAAATGTATAGATTTTTAATGTTGAAAGTCAGTGGGCGTGATCCTGTGGTGTCAACAGTTACAGGTTTGCTAACCTCCTTCCTGGATTCATATAAAAAGAAAAGATAGATACAACTTATAGCACAAAAAGCATCCATGACCAAAGATTTTTAATATGCTTTTATATAAAAAGCTTTTTTTCAAATGATTAAAAAGCCAATTACTATGTACTCGTATCAAGAAATGTATGAATTGTAAACAGAAAACCTTACATTATCACTATATTTATCCATCCTCCTTCACATTTGAATCAGGTCTACCTTAATAGTATAGTTCTCTTTTCTTTTAATGATGATGCATTAAATGTACACGTCACCCAATAACCAGCACTTCTTTTCTTTTCTTTTCTTTTCTTTTCTTTTCTTTTCTTTTCTTTTCTTCAACTTTCTAGATAGAACAAGGAAACTTTGTTCTCTTTTGTACTTACGCAGCTGGTCTTCGCAGTCACTTTCAAAATTTAGTGGTGATTATCTTGGTAAGTGTTTAGACAAAGCTAAGCTTCCTTGTGTGGGTATGTCTTTTCTTATCCTATTTCTATGGTCCATACCTGTGATGGCGAACCTATGGCACGGGTGCCAGAGGCGGCACTCATAGCTCTCTCTGTGGGCACGTGCGCCGTCGCCCCAGTCCTAGGCCTTCAGCTGGGTTTTATAAAACCTATTTGCTTTAGGCCTCCACCGCCGTGTGCAAAAAAAAAAAAAAAGGTTCAATCAATCAGTCAATTTCAACTTCTCACAGGGAAAAAAAAGATCTTGCAAAATTGGAATTAATTGATTGAACTTTTTAGTCCCATCCAGTCTACCGTTACCACCACAGCCACGCACACCCAATGGGCCACACCTACCCAATGGGCCACACCCAGCCAATGGGCCATGCCCACCCGGCACCCGACGATGCATAAGTGGGTTTTGGGTTGCAGTTTGGGCACTCGGTCTCTAAAAGGTTCGCCATCACTGGTCCATACCTATATGAAAATCAGGTTTTCATGATAGAAGGCCTTTCTCCTTCTGTAACTATATTGTGTGAATATAATAAAAAGAAAAGTACAGGTAGTCCTCGACTTATAATAGTTCACTTAGTGACCAAAGTTACAATGGCACTGAAAAAAGTGACGGATTACCATTTTTCAGACTTACGACTTTTGCAGCATCCCCATGGTCATGTGATCAGAATTCAGACACTTGGCAACTGACTCATGACAGTTGCAGTGTCCCAGCATCATGTGATCAACTTTTATGACTTTCTGAAAAGCAAAGCTAATGGGGAAGCCAGATTTTCTTAACAACTGTGTTAACTAACTTAACTGCAATGATTCACTTAACAACTGTGGCAAGACAAGTCATAAAATAAGGCAAAACTCACTTAACAAATGTCTCACTTAGCAACAGAAGACTATCTGTATTGGTTTCTGTCTCTCTGGTCACCTTTTTAAACCCATGGTCATCTCTTTAGGCTGACTCCATTAGAGTCCACGCTTCTGCCCTTTTGTGATGTGTAGCTATTGGTATTTGTATGATGCTGCAATCTTCAAATTGTACACTTAATTCCCTTGGAAGCCATAAACACATTTTCCCTTATCTGACATTTTTTTTCCTCATTATAACACGTAGGTATCAGCTACAGTGAGCGTCCCGTTCTGGCAAAGATTTTTGAAACATTTTGGCAAAAAAAAAGCAGCATGTGGAATATCAGTAAGTAGGCCGTTAATACTTATGGCTACACTTCAGATTAGATTCCAAAAAGATGCTTCAGAGCATACAAAGGCATGAATGGAACATGTGTCTGTAACTCTTTTAAGGTGGAATAATGTGGATTAATGAACAATGAACAATCTCTAAAATGATGTGTCTGCATAATTACTGGAAAAATGCTGTGTTAGTAATATGTGACTAACCTAAGGCGCATTGCACTTGGATACAATGTATCTAGCAAACTCTCTCCATTGTATACCCATGAGATAGGGACCTAATGTATCACAATGTGTATTTCAATGTGTATTCCTTTGTTCCTGAGAAAGGGAAAGTATAAAACTGAAGTCTGAACCCGCCCTCGGGATTCAGAATTGCTTGTTGCTACTGCTTCTGAACCTGCGCAATAAATCTCTCTGCTAAACCCTCTGGAATTCGTAAGAGTCCTTGCAGTTTTTTCCACAAGATTTAAAGCAGCCAAGCCTTTTTCCATGATCATGTGGCAGCAGCAGAGGGCAGCTATGATATGCGAAGTAAAAATGTGACTGCTTTAAAGAGTTCCAGAAGTGCTGGGCTTGTTGTGCTCCTAAGCACTTTGAAACACCCTTTTGACATTGAATTTAAGGCTCTGCGTAGTCCCAATAATCATACAACTTGAATGTAATCATTTGAGCAATAGTCTTTTCTAGGCCATGCTTGCTAGTTATATTAAACCCGTTTTTTTAATCTGTGATTTTGGGATGATTTGATGACTTAATTGTAGCTAGTTGGTTCTTGTCCTTAATTGTAGCTCCTGGTTCTTGTCCTGTTGATTAAGAATCTCTTCCTATTATGGTTTATAATCTGTGCAGATCAACAGATACCAGACTATGTGGCTGAAAACTAAAGGCACCCTGTCTCTAGAAATAACACCTCTTGTCCTACAGATTTTCTATTTATGGTGGATCTGAAATAGAAGGATAAAGAGTACAGCCAAATACTCCCCAATGGTATTTTTCAAACTTGGCAATTTTAAGATGTGTGAATTTCAACTCCCAGAATTCCCCAACCAGCATGCTGCTTGGGGAATTCTGGGAATTGAAGTCCATATATTCTTAAAGTTACCAAGTTTGAAAGGCACTGTTGTAGAGCGTGTAGCATGTACTCTTGATGTACATTTTTGAAAAGTACTGCTCTATGACCTTCAAAGCAGAAGGAAAACCAAAATTAAAATTAAAAAAGACCATTCACCACGATAGCACTTTGAAACACATTCTTTGCACATGGAAGATCCCAGGGTTTTGTCCCAGGTCTGAAATTCTAGCAAACTGATGTCTATCATTGCCCATGTTATTAATCTAGATGAGCTGGTGATGGTCACACCTATAATGATTGTCATTGCCATGACTGTACAGTAATCTTAATCCTGTTTATATCATTGTCTAGTTAAGACTCAATTTCACTGAGGGCCGCATGAGCATTGCAGTTGCCCTTCAGGGGCCAGGTGGGTGTGGCCAGAGTGGGTGCAGCCTACAGGGTGGGTATGGATGGAGTGGGTGTGGCCTACTGGATGGGCGTGGCCAGCTCTACATCATTCGTGTCAAGGGTGCCTGTGGGGGCCTGGGCAGGAGTGGGACAGATCTGAGGGTCTCTGGCAGAAGAGGGTGGGACCGGGGCAAGTGTCAAGGCATGGTCCACTGGGGCAAGTGCCAAGATGGCCACCACAACATTGTACATTGGCTCCCGGCTGGCCAGGGCCAAGGCAGCGGGGGCCATTCCCTCACTGTTTCCAGGATGGCTTTGCGGGCCACATGAAACTACTTCGTGGGCCGCATCCAGCCCCCGGGCCTTGTGTTTGACATGTCTGAGTTAAGGCATTGCCCTTTCTTAGATGTCCAATCATGGATGAAATGATTTAGCTTTTCTCCTTATTTCCATTCATTCTAGTTGATGATTCCTTCTGTAATCGTGCTGGTGACGATCCCAAATGTCTTTCTTGCCTACCTTGTGGCTTTTGTATCTGGATTTAGCATTGCAGCATCTTTCCTCCTGCCGTGGTAAGAGTCTGTTGTAGAGAGTGAGCATAAGGGCAGGGTGTGCAGGGGAATATCCGCTGCATTTGGCTAAAAGCAGCACTTTAGCCTTTGGGTGATACCCTGCGGTCTGCCTCCAGAAGGTGCTTCATCTAGTTTAATTAAAAATTAATACTGATGGAATCGATTCAGTGCAATGATACATAGCAGCGTCTTTAGGGCTGGGACCTCTTGAGACTACAGACAATCCCGATTGAGAGGCCTCAGATAGTGTGGTCAAGAGATCAGATCTTTCAAAAATCTTGTCGAGAATCTTAAGAGAAAGCCAGTGGAAGAGAGGTCTAAGGCTAAACGATTAAAATCCCGGTGGTTTTTAATGGCCAATCCAAAAGATGGGAAAAAAATTATAGGAATAGGCAATAAAGCATATGAAACTATCCCTATTAACTATATATAAAGGTATTATTTAGAGAGTATTAAAAGAATTTTAATAAAAGTATTATTTTAAAGCAATATGAAAATATGAAAATGTATTATTAAAATGTGCATTTAATTTACAGATCAGTTACCTTCCAATTACTAAGTCCTGAATCGCATGATTTTTAAAGACATTTTTTTTAAAAAAAAAAAAAAACCCTGTAGTGATCGTGCACAATTTGCTTATTCTTAAGGAGGGGGCCACATGTGATCCCTGTTTTTTTGTTTTTGCATATTATTGTTATTTTCAAGGACTGGAATGATAGAAAAATAAGAAAGCTTTGCACAAATGGAATTTATTATTAGAACAAAAATTAGCAGAAGTATGAATGGCAGTTATACAGATAGTTATTGACTTAAAACCAGGCAAAATTATGATGGACCCCTCAAAAGGTACTTACAACATGGTTCCAAAGTCATGACAGCCATTACCATCCCATAATCATGTATCCAGATTTTGGGCACATGGCAGCTAGCCTGTATTTTATGTCAATTTGCAGTGTCCTGTTGTCAAGTGACCGTGATTTATGTCCTTTTTTCCCTGAAAACTGGCATTTACTTTGTTTTCAGCAAAAAAAATGCCTCAGTGAACAATGGGTTTACTTAACAGCCCTGGCATTTACTTCATGACTACAGATTCACTTAACAACCATGGTAATTCACTTAATAACCACTACAAAAAAGGTTGTTGTCAAATTGGGTTGGTCATGTGCAGGGATAGGCAACCTTGGCTCTTTTATGACTCGTGGACTTCAACTCCCAGAATTCCTGAGCCATCATAGCTGGCTCAGGAAATCTGGGAGTTAAAGTCCATGAGTCATAAAAGAGCCAAGGTTGCCTACCCCTGGTCAGGTGGATGTCTCGCTTTACAACTTAAACAACCTTAATGGGTAGACAACCATTATGGTTGTAAGTCAAAGATTACCAGTGCTGTATAAAGGCAAAATAAATTGAGTTCTAGAGTTTTGTTCAAAGTCAGTTTTTGAGTTGCAGTACACAGAAACAGTCTGTTTTAAATCTCCCTGTAATTGTGAAAGATTCTAACAATATTTTTTCAGACATTTTTTAAAACTTAAAAACTTTTTTGATTTAAATTGGGGGCTTAAACTAAGCTGCTTCTGTCGGTTAAAGGTCTATGCTGCCTGATGTAGTTGACCATTTTCGAATGCAGAACATTCACTTATCAGGGCATGAAACTATCTTTTATTCGTCCTTCATCTTTTTCACAAAGATATCAACTGGAATTGGAATGGGAATTTCTTCCTTCAGTCTACAGTGAGTGTTTTAAGTTTTGGTTTCTTTGGGATCTTGCATTTGTTTAATTTGGTAAAAGGGGCACAGGGATAGGTAATCTGTGGCACTCCAGATATTGATAAATTACAACTCCTGCATTCTTTGCCATTGTCCCGGTGTCCTAGGTGTGTTAGGCACTGCAGTTTAGCAACTAGATGGTTGTGCGCTGCCTACACCTGCTCTTGTCGTTATGCCTGCAGGTAATCTCTAACTACTCAGTTTGTTGTGATAAAGATTACTACGTTATTTATTTATTTTTAAAATGTAATCAGTTTATAGCTATCTCTGTTGCTCTACTCACCATACATGCAGGCATATAATAAAGACATTTTCAGTATGAACTTGTTTTAAGAAAGGGTTCATATCAATGCATACCCAATCCACCAGATTTTATTCTGCTTTTATGTTTCTTCCAATTCAGGGAAGACATTTTAACAAAATATTCTACAAGTTTCATGAAACAGAAAAAGAAGGATAATTGCTTTTGAATTTCTGAAATCAGATTTAGATGTGGAGCCCAGCTTGAACCGGGGCCTCCAAACCAATTTAAAATTAATTGGGCTGTTTCCAATCTTGTTTGTTGACCCAGGGGGTGGTATGATGGGAGATAGCAGGCTGGCTATAACAAGAAAAGGGGAGTCCAGAATTTGTTGTCATTTCTACTTCTGACTCTTTTCTGGTTCCAGGTGATTGTGTTAGTGGCTACTTTAGCTTCCAACTCTTGCTAGTTTACAGCAGTCTATAAGACCACATTAATAATAATACAATAATAATAAAGTTGGAATAATAATATAATAATAATAAAGTTGGTCATCTAATCCAACCCCCTGCTCAGACAGGAAACCCTATACCCGTGGTGGCAAACCTATGGCACGCGTGCCACAGGTGGCATGCAGAGCCCTCTCTGTGGGCACGCGCGCCGTTGCCCCAGTCCTAGGCCTTCAGCTGGGTTTTATAAAACCTTTTCGCTTTAGGCCTCCACTGCCGTGTGCAAAAAAAAAAAGGGTTCAATCAATCAATTTCAACTTCTTGCAGGGAAAAAAAAAGATCTCACAAAGTTGGAATTGATTGGTTGAACTTTTTAGTCCCAACACAGCCACGTCCATCCAATGCGCCATACCCACCCAATTGGCCACATTCAATCAATGAGCCACACCCACCTGGCACCCGACAATACATTAGTGGGTTTTGGGTTGCAGTTTGGGCACTCGGTCTCTAAAAGGTTCGCCATCACTGCCCTATACCATTTCGAACAAATGGCTATCCAGTCTCTTCTTAAAAACTTCCAGTGTTGGAGCATTCACCGCTTCTGGAGGCAGAAGAGCATGCAATGTGTTTCCTCTGAAATAGTTTACCCGCAGAAGTGAGAATGGCCCTTACCTTCATGATGGGTGCGGAAGCAGATGAAAATCTAGCTATTCTGAAACCTTTCAGGGATTAAAACCTGAATTAAAACCCCTGGTGCCATATTCCATTGAATGGATTTTACTCTATTACTTTTAGTGTTTAATTTAATCACCAATTAGCTTCAAATTATTTTAATTATTATATTGATGTTATATTGCATTTTATATATAAGCTTAGGGATTCCCTAGAATCCATTAAAGTTTTAGATGGTAGAGAAATGTAGAAAATAAATAAGCAAGCTATCCCGGCCCACAAGGTGGAACCAATCCATTAAGTGAAACAAGTTTGCCAAGCACATTGTAGCTTCATAGGGCAGAAAGTAATGGGATGGATTAAGGGAACTGGCCAATATTATGGAGATCAGGATGCTATTGTTCTGATCGTAATGAATGAATTGCTGAGATTGCTTTATAAATATAAGAGCCATTATTTTAAGGTCAGACATCAGTGTTAAAAAGATTGGTCTTTACGTAAAAAAAAACTGATGGGAAAAAGCCAATAAGGGTTAGAAAATAACAGCAGCAATATTCAGATTGAAGGGGGAGAGGTGTGAAATGAATTTTAGTTGTGTATTGTTATTTGAATAAATTATAGTAATATTTGCATGACTTTTTAATAGATTTGTTGGCTACAAATCAGGGATGTGCGTACAGTCCACCCATGTTGTCATCACGCTGAAAATCTTGGTTGGTGGAATTCCATCCATCCTCATCCTTTTAGGCTTATTCATACTCCTGTTTTACCCAATCAATGAGAAAAGTCAAAAGGAAGTGAAATATGCCTTTGAAAACTCAAGGTAGGTTTGTACTAATACCGAGCCTCTCCTAGTGAACATCTTTCTTTGGTGAAAGAGGTGTGCTGCTTTTTAAATCAAAAGTCAAATGTGTTACAGTAAAAAATATATGATAATTCATGAAAAGCAAAATCTTTTTATTAAATTATAAATTACTAAAGGTAATTCCTTGAATGCCCCCGTTTATTCAGCCATGTGCATAAACAATGCTTCTGATTCCTAACAAATTCAGAAAACTCATAAAGCAAGTAAAATATTCACCCCAAAATAAGTTGTTGCATTGGATAATAAGAGCACACTGTAAAGCTAATTCTTTGAAAGCTGAATCTGTTGAATTTTGGAGGATTTCTTAAACTTAAATCCAATACTGATTTTCACAGTTTCAGAAAAGCCAGGAGTTAAATCCAGAATGATGTGCATGCAAAATTTCTACTCTCATCGTTGGACTAAATAAAACACTATCCCTTAATATAAATTACCATATTTTCTCTTACAGACTTGTGGTGTTTGACTTTGGTAGGTCTTACAATGCACTTATTTTGCATTGTCCTGAAACTGGCTTTTCCATAGAGATGATGTACAAACAACAGGAAATAAATCCTAATATATTTGACCAGAGCTTACAAGGTGTTAGAATTAAAGGCCAGTATTAATTGATTTGGATTCTGAAGCTAAAGGACAGCTTCTAAAAAACATTTTAACGTGACAACTTTTGTCTCATATTTTGTATATGTGTGTGTCATGATTAAAAGGTGGGATCCAAGCCCAGCAGATGCCATGTTTAAATTACAATGTAAACTGTTTTTTTACACAAGATTATTTCATGTCTTATGAAACAGGAGGAATCATGTGAAGACTGAAAACATTGTTGAGGAAAGCAGTTATGTTGGAAAGCCTGAATAAAAATAGAAGTCCAATGCTAATGAAAATACAACCAGAGGGCAGCACTTCAGCATGCTTGAAGGCATTTGTCCTATTCCACCAGTGTTTAACCACCCATATACCAAGGCTGGTCTGATCAGAAAGACAACGCTTTGGAGCATGGGCTTAGAGAGCCTGTACATATGTACTGCTGGATTATTATGAAGCCTTGCACGAGCTATGTATAAGATGCAATAGGTGGTTCTCTCTTCTTTCATATATAGTACCAGTACATGTTATACTGAGGAGAACAGCTGCCTGGCGAGATAAAAGCCGTGGTCTTGTGAGCGCTATCCATAAGCTGTTAACCAAGACAGTGTGGTTAGAGGGAATTTCAACTAATTATAGGTTATGGTTCCTACCAAAGGAAATCCCATAATTTTTGTTAATCGCATAATTCTGTTTATCATCAATGCATTGCCATTTAAACTGCTGGCTTCATCTGTGTTTTTTGTATAGATATTTTTAATCCCACCTTAATCGTTTTATCAATAACTCAGCAAAGAAGATATACTCTGTCAACTGAACATTTTGAGAGACATTATAATTAACATTATAGTAGCTATGGGTTCCCTTGATGGAGGCATTAGCTTGCACTATTAGTACTTCTACAAAGCATTTTCACTGAGAGGCTCAATGGCAGTTTTGTGTGCTCCAGGAGAATGCAATTGAAACATTTTTTTTTTAAAAGGGCTATAATCCTCTCTGTGGCAAATGGACAAGGCAGAAGTCATTATTCCATGGTTTACACAAATTGCAGATCATCCATGCTGTCTGAACTGATTGTAATACTACTTTCCATTCACTGCTGTTTTGCACAAGTACAGCCAATAGAATTTAGATTCTTGAAAATGTCAACTTGGAGTCAGCCCATTCACAGAAACAGAAACACAGGTTCCTCACTAGGTGCCTAGCAGTGGTGAAATGTGACATATAAATGTGACTATTTTTAATGCTGCCAGCATGAAAAGTTACAGACTTTTTTTTAAAAAAAAAAATGAATGTAGACTTTCTAAGTCTGACAGATAATAGCCCAAACTATAGTCAAATATATTTGAAAATGGATCTTTATTTCTGTTAACGAATTCATAGATTAAAATCATTCTTAGATTGAAGAAATGTATTAATTATTTCAAAAGTAGTTCGGCTTTCTCAATAGACATTATGAAATAACGAAGTTGGATAACAGCTGGGCAATATTGTGACTTAACATTATTTTTCAGCAAGGCTTGTAGAAAAAAGTATACCTGGTAAATTGTATGTCTATTTGCTTTTAAAATACACATAAACAGGCACTCCCACTCACCAAATGCAGCTCAGTAGAATATGATCTAAAATCAGTTAAGTCTTTGTCTATTCATATGCAAGATTCATAAGAGTAACGAGCAAAGTAGCATCTCTGGTTATAGAATTAAGCAACATTGATAAAATAACGACAACACAATAAATATTGCATATAGCAGTTGTGCCATTCTCTGTCCAATTCATCTCACAAAACCCTTGGAAACTTTTTTCTTTCTCAAGCTTGCTAAAAAAAACTAAACAATATGAAGGTTTTATTCGGGAGACTTAAGTTCTCAAGTACAAATTCCAGTGTCCTTTTTGATTTAATGTACAAAAGCCCCGCATTGATTAGATGATCTGATTTGGCTGGGAGGAGAGCACAGTCTTTGTGAATAGAGTCAAATTTCATATATTGGCAGCAAATCTTCAATAAGTTCTGGGGGGCAACAAAGATATTCTGAGAACTCCGACTTTGTTATTGCCTAATGGTCATCTGAATTTTTGCAACCCAGACCAGGGTAATTTTATTTGATCCTTGGTATTTTTAAAAAATTGTTGCAATGTCGTCCTTTACAGTTGGGGTTTTTTTTTTTTTTGCTTTTATTTAATAAAAGAGAAAAAATAATAAAGAGAAAAAAAGCAATTCAAAAACAGCAAAAATGTAAAGAGCTTCTCATATATGTGTATGAAATTTTATGGAAGGTTTTCAATAAAAAATATAGGTAGTCCTTGACTTATGACCATAAATGGGCTCAAGGCAGTTGTTAAGTAAGTTTTGCCCCATTTTATGACCTTTTTTGCCAGAGTTGTTAAGTGAATCACTGCACTTGTTAAGTGAATCTTGGGTTGTTAAGTGAATTTGGCTTCCCCAGTTGGCTTGTTGGACCCGGGCTAGAAAGGTTGCAAATGGTGATCATATGACCCCAGAGCAGTGCAACTGTCATAAATACATGCCAGCTGCCAGCTGAAGTTTTGGTCACATGACCATGGAATGGTTGTGTGAAAATTGGTCATAGGTGACTTTTTCACTGCCGTTGTAACTTCAAAGGTCACTAAACAAATAGTTAAGGCGAGGACTATCTCTAACCATACTTAACGGTAGCCATCCAGTCATACCTTACATCTATAAGAAGTCTTTTTAAAAGTTCCAAGTCACTACAGGTCTTTAGTACCCTGAATAATTAGGTGTGTAGTGTTACTTTCATCCAAAGTCTCCTTGACCCTAAAATATACAGTATGACAATTAGCTTGACTGCAAATAGTGTTTGTTATATACAATAGTTGCCTCAATGCTTGAATAAATCTGCTAGACTTCAATGCAATTTATCTGTGGAATATTGTGAAGTGTTTTTTTCTACGACTTAAGAAAGCAGATAACCAACAGTATATTTTGGGTGTATGTGTCTAAGCACACATGCATTCAAGCGCATGCACAAAGAGAGGTATCACTATAATATACAGACTGCCAAGAAAATTATCAATTATAAGAATATAGTAGGAAACTATTTTGACAGCAATCAGCAAAATTTGCAATGATGTACAAACTACTGGAAAATTTGAAGTGATGACATTTTGTTAACCTTACAATATTTTAAATATAAAATCGAATTGAACATTTTATAATGACTATCCTATGTTGAAAGGAATAACAGGAGAACCAATTTGTCCTTTTCAGGGACTTGAGAAATTACATTTGAAAGAAAGATAAAAGCTATCTTTTCTCATATCCTTTGTCTTTGTAAAAATCTGCTTCTCATATTAGTATGTTTATCATGAAAGTTTGTAAAATGAATTCTGCATGTATGGAATAGGTAAAATACATATATATTTATGGGAAAGAATAATGTTTTTCATAAGGCTTGTTGGAGACACAGACAAAACACTTAAGTTTGATTAGTAGAACCGTTTTTAAAGATGACATTCTAATAATATTTATTTTTCCCTTCAATCATATCCTATTTTGGGAGACTGCCTGGATAAGTGCCTGCAGCTTTTTGGCAAGGTGCTTTGGAAGTGGTTTGCCACTGCTGTCCTCCTACAGCTGAAAGTGACAGCTGGGTGGTTTTGTGCCAGACACTTTCTCTCAACCCTAGCAAGAAGGCAATGGCAAACCATGGCTGAAAAACCTTGCCAAGAAAACTGCAGGGACTTTTCCACGCAATCTCCAAAAATTGGATATGATTAAACAGAAAAAAGCAGCCTCAAAGATGACATTCAAATAATTACATAAAAGTGCTTACAACTTCAAAAGGGATTTTACGGGGAAGGTGGAAAATCCTCTGTTTTCTTTTGGTGGCAGCCAGCTCTGCTGAGACCTTGGAAACTGGAATTTTTCAAATTCCATTGCTGGAATATAACTGGCATTTGCAGTTCAAGAACAGTCATTGAGCTATCTTTGATTTTCCTTACCTACTATGATCAAATTTCACCTCAGCGCTGCTGATTTCCCTATTGATCCAAATAGTGTGAACATTCAAAATGCTACTCCTTGCATTTAAAGAATGTGCATAAATGTGCCATGATTTAATAGGGATGAAATTGTTCATTCTGCTAAATCAAAACCAAAGAAATTGCTTTGTTTTATTCATTGTATGTAAAGCCAGTTCTTATCTTGAAAGTCTCAGACCAGCTACTTGAAGATTCACCTTTACTCATATCAATCTTTTGATGTTTTATTTTATCATTTTAATAAAATAACAAGAGTTGGAAGGGGCTTTGAAAGTCTTCTAGCCCACCCCCTGCTCAAGCAGGAAACCCTATAATACCATTCCAGTCAAGTGGCTCTCCAGTCTCTTCTTAAAAGCCTCCAGTGATGGAGTATCCACAACTTCTGGAGGCAAGTTGTTCCACTGGTTAATTAACAAAATAGCAAGAGTTGGAAGGGACCTTGGAGGTCTTCTAGTCCACGCCCTGCTCAAGCAGGAGACCCTATAATACAATTCCAGTCAAGTGACTGTCCAGTCTCTTCTTAAAAGCCTCCACTGATGGAGCAACCATAACATCTGGAGACAAACTGTTCCACTGGTTAATTGTCCTGTCAGGAAATTAGTTAAGAAAAGGGTTAACGGTCACTAAATGATTGCTGTAAGTCAAGGACTACTTTTATGTGTGAAAAACACCTTGGGGGGACTGGACAAAGATAGCGCCACAAGAACAATCCGTGCCTTGGAAGAGGGAGCTCTAATGGAATATGGGGAAGACCTTGGGAGATTCTGGCAGGAGATGCTGTTTGGGAATGGTCAGGTAAAAGAGCGTAGCCCTCAGCTGCATCCTGGATGGAGAAAGCAGCTCAGAAAACTGGTTTCTGGGGTGGTAAATGAAAAGGGATGGGAAGAGAAGGAGACTTGTACTTTTAGATTTGCAAAATTCTATCAACGGAGCATTACAATAAAGTAGAATTCACTCACCCAATTGTCTATGGAGATTCTCCGTCATCCAGATCTTGGTTGTCCCAAAGGTGCTTTTTTTCATGAGGCAACTGGATTCCCTGGTTTCTCTTCGAAAGGGCTTCTTCTCCCATCCAAGAAGCCTCTCCAGCTCCGACTGGATGGCAGGGAACAGAAGGATCTACACTCCCCGTAGACTGCTGCAAATGACCAGCTGTCTGCAAGGAGTATAAATCTCCCCCCCCCCTCTCCACCATCCAGCCAGAGCTGAAGAAGCCTCCTGGAAATCGTCTCCAAAGAAAAATAAGGAAGTTCTCCTGCAAAAAGCACCTTTGGGAGAAGAATGAAAGGGAAAGAGGAAGAGGAGGAGGAAGATGGGAGGGAAAGAAGGTTAAGAGAGACGGAGAAAGAGAAAGGAAGGGAAAAAAGGAAAGAAAAGAGAAAAAAAGAAAGAAAAAATCTGCAAGGAGTATGAATCCTTCTCTTCCCCACCATTCAGTCAGAGTTGAAGAACTTGGATGAGAAGCGATATGGGAAAGAAGGAGAAGAATAGGAGAGAGAAAAGAAAGAAAGGAAAAAAGGAAGGAAGGAAGGAAGGAAAAAGAAAAGAAAGTCTGCAAGGAGTATAAATCCTTCCCTTCCCCACCATTCAGTCAGAAGAAGCCTCCCGGATGAGAAGCGAAACATCTTCAAAGAAAAACAAGGAAGTCCAGCTGCCTCCTGAAAAAAGCACCTCTAGGACAATTCATCTGATTTAAAAATCATCATTTTAAAAATCATCATTTTAAAATCAGGAATTATTACAGTAAGTAAATTGTAATAATCATAGCTAAAACAAATTGCTATGCTTCATTTTGCTGTTATGCCTAACTAGATGGCTGAGAAACAATTACAGGAATTCCTTCTTCAAACAGTTAAGCCATTGACTTCATTCACATGTAGTCCTAAGGTATAGTTAAATTATCTTAAGACATAAACTGGGTTAACAAGCCACATTTGGCTGACATAGCCCAAACCAATAAACTATATTATGGCCTAATACAGGTAGTCCTCAACAGTGCATTGTGACCGTTCCAATTTACAAAGGAACTGAAAAAAGTGACTTACGACTGTTTTTCATACTTACAACTGTTGCAACATCCCATGGTCATGTGATCAAAATTCAGATGCTTGGCAACTGGTTCATGACAGTTGCAATGTCTTGTGATCATCTTTTGTGACCTAACAAGCAAAGTCAATGAGGAAGCCAGATTCACTTAACTATCGTGTTACTAAGGTAACAACCGCAGAGACTCCCTTAACTGTGGTGAGAAAGGTCGTAAAATGGGGCAAAATTTACTTAATGACTGTCTCGCTTAGCAACAGAAAACTGGGACTCAATTGTAGTCTTAAGGACTACCTGTATGTTGCATAGTCCAGTACTGTTTACGTGTAAAAAATAGCGCGATGCAATTCATGAATTTAACATAGTTTTAATTTGCCTAGTGTTGCAAATTGGAAGCTGCTTGTTTTAAGTATGAAAAACAGTCATAAGTCACTTTTTTCAGTTCCTTTGTAAAAAGTAGCACGATGCAATTCATGAATTTAACATAGTTTTAATTTCCCTAGTGTTGCAAATTGGAAGCTGCTTGTTTTAATGTTGAAATTGTTCTAGAGCAGTGGTGGCGAACCTATGGCACGCGTGCCAGAGGTGGCACTCAGAGCCCTCTCTGTGGGCACATGCACCGTGGCCATTAGCAGCTCGTGCAGGTCCATTAGGTTGCCGCCGCCCAGAGCAGCAGCCCCGCCCAGCACAAAGCAGGCAAAATGGCCTGCTAGCAAGCTCAAGTAGAGATGTTAGAGTATCGAGGTGGCCATGCCTACTTGGCCACACCCACCCAGTCTGCTGTGACCACCCTGGCCACTCCCACTCAGTGGGCCACACACCCCACCCTCTCTGAGGGAACCACAATGCTGATGCAGCCCTGGCACTTTGCAATAAATAAGTGGGTTTTGGGTTGCGGTTTGGACACTCGGTCTCTAAAAGGTTCACCATCACTGTCCTAGAGCTGGGATAACTGAGCTATTTGGGCAAGGAAAAAACAATAAGTACTTTTATAAAAACCTGGAAACCTTTTGTAGACTGCTGAAAATGGGAAAAAAAGTGAGATTGTGATTGCTGGATTTGATAACTGAAAAAGAATTGAATAAGGGGCTGAAGGAATTATAATGTTAAAGCAGCAGGGATAATGACTTGGCAACTGTGGTAAAGAAAACTAGGAATGACTGTTAGTTATCTTTCCCCCCTTTCTTTAACAATTTTTTGTAATTTTTCATTAAGTGAAATGAAAGCTTTGGTGTATTGAAGATCCAACTAAAAACAATCAACAAATTCTTATTTGGTCTACTAATCTGACAGTGGCTTTGCTTTTTAGATATTTTATCTGAGACAGAAAACACAGCAATCTAATAATCCACTGAAGATATTTATGAAATCTTACATTAGGCAGGAATACCAAGGAAGGGACTTTGAGTGGAGCGACTTAAAGGGCAGAAAAAGGGAAAAGGAGCGAAAAAAGAAAAACCACTGTAATACCTACTGTTATCCTTTTTACAATTAAATGAGGGTGACAGAGGCGAATATCAGTGATGATGGAAATTAGGGTTCAGATTATTTACAACCAGAAGTTAAATCCACATCGCCCTTATCATGAAAGGCTTTTTCACAAAAGAAAAGAAAAAAAAATAGATACCGGTCCTACTTTCCATAGGTATGGCTGTCTCCTTTTGCTTCAAAGCTGTAAAATACAAAGTTTAAGGGCAGATGGCACCTCCCCCCCTTTTAATAATTTTTTAACCTGCTGTTATTATTTTCATAAATAATTCAAGGTGACAAACCTAGCTAATATTTCTTCCTTTGATTTTCACCACCACCACTCTGTGAAGTGGGTTGGGATGAGTGAGTGACTGGCCCGAGATCGGCCAGTGGCTTTTATGCCTAAAGCAAGACTAGAACTCAAGTCTCCTGGTTCCTTGATAAAGACGAAAAAAATAAAATGTTCCCTTTCCTCCTTTCTTTCATGAAGTCTAAACAGGGCTACAACCATGTTTCAGTATACCTAAGGATTGTCAATGTAACAATGTAAGTTTGTGAAACTTATTTTGAAGGTCGTCCACTATAATTCAGCGTTCAGAGCAATATTTCAGCCTTCAACTATTCTGAATTATTTTTAATGTTTTTTTAAACTAGAGCTATTCAACTTGCATGCATATTGTAACAATTTCCTGGAAACTCTGAGGAAAACTGACTAAAAACGAATCAAGTTTTGTTGCAGGTACTGTTATCTGAGAAGGACTTTGGTACTCACTGCTAAGTAGTTTTGTAAATGGTCTCCTAACTTTCAAGTACATTTGTAACAGGCACTGGTATAACGACAAAATTAAAAGTAGTGTAATGATGCAGAAACTATAGG